ATGTCCAGCTGTTGCAAGTGGGCGGTGAAGCGGACAAGAGCCTACAGGCGAGCTGTGAGGACTTGGACAGGTCCAGCAGCGCATAAAACTCCGCAGCACCTGAGAGTAGGGGAGGACGGCGAGGGTCTGGTGGCCGAGGAAGTTGCGGTTCCACACGCCGAGGAGGGCGAGGAGGAGGGGAAGGTTCTTGCGGACGTCCTTCTCAGAGATCGCGTTCCTGTCCATGTCGTGCGCTCCCTTGAGGATCTGGGGAAGGTGACGTCATCAAAGCAGGAGTCGCCTGCCCAACACACCATCTCGTAGTTCTGATATCCCAAGCCGAAGGCGAGCATGGGCCCGCCGACCATGGAGGTGGCGCTGTACCTTCCTCCTGCAAGGGTCGAGGGTGAGCGAAGCAGCACGGAGGGATGAGACTGACCGATGTAGTCAAACATGTAGAAGGAGATGAGGTACTCCGCAGGGTTGTCCATGGGGCTTCCCTTGCCTGTCACGCATCTGGGCAAGAGCTTGAGAAAGGTACTTGAGTAGATCGAGGAGAGCAGAGAGAAAGGGGATCATGCTTGGGATCAAGCAGGAGAGGGCGTCGAGACGGTGAACAAGAGGACGAACAGCAAGAAGAGACACGAAGAAGGAGGTGAAAACTCCAACAGAAGGAAGCGCACGCTGAGGGGTGGAAGGGAATGAGGAGAGGGGGTGATGGGAGAGGGAAGAAGAGGTATCCTACGCGAAGTGCTTCTTTGGGTCGAGGCCCTTCTTTACAAAGAAATCTCTCACGAGCTGCTCGTTGGTCAAAGTCTCCAAGGTGCCGCCAGACTGCCGGGCAGGTCAAAGAGGTCAGCACAAGGAGGGGATGACGTCAGCACCTTGGAGCAGACGAGGACGAGGGTCTTGGAGAGGTCGGGGATACCCTTGAGCACCATGGCAGCATCGTCGGGGTCAACGTTGGAGACGAAGTGCACCCTCCTGTTGTCCTTTTTGTAGCCCTAGCATGACGTCAGACGCAACATGCTCGACCTGCCTGGTACGGACCTGGAGGGCAAGATAGAGGGCACGTGGACCTGGGCAGAGTGAGCAGGTGAACACCCCACGATCTCCTAACGCATACCAAGATCCGACCCTCCGATGCCGATGAGGACAAGATCTGTGAAGCTGCGGGGACATATCTGTGTGAGAGGACGACGGTCCAGACGGCAACGAGCAGCTCACGTCTTCTCCTTGTCAAGCTTGTTGCACCAGTCCTTGAGCTTAGAAAGCTCAGCCCTGCAAACAAAAACAGCAGAATCAGCGAATCTTTCTTTCCGCGTGTCATGTCAACATCTCAAGGTCGGAAGCCTCCTTAGCTGCTGGCGCCTCATTGCGCTTGTCGAAGACGTCGCGCATGGCAGTGTGCAGAACCTGATGAATCGATTTCACAAGGTCGAAGAAGCATGTCTTAAACTCTGTCTCATCACCTTGCGGTTCTCACTCTCATAGCTCTCAATCTTGTTGATCACTTCACCGTCCTGCGTAAGCCCCGTGAGGATCCTCAACAGATAGCAGAGGATCCTCAACCATCATGGCCTTCATCTTGCCAAAGACATCTCGCTCCTTCGCCAAGTTGGCCAGGGCATCGATAGTCGCCTCGTCCACCCTCTCCGTGCCATACAGGAGCTTGAGACCGCATGCTGATGCTTGCATCATGTTGATACGTGCTGGAGAGATCGCGTCCTTGGCGCTGAGGTCATAGGGGTTTTTGGCGATCTCCCGCAGCTTAATGACCTGACAGGATCCCCTTCAGAGGCGAGAAGGAGTGGGGAGAGGGATCTTACAGCAGGATTGTCACTCCAGGTGGGCATTGAAGAACCCCCCTTCAGGCGCATGAGCCTGGCAGGCAAGGATGAGGATAAAGGTTGAACAAGCTTTCTCATGGTGTAGGGAACGATCTTGAAAGAGCTCCATGAGAAGTGCGACAACAGATTTAGTTTGTTTCCCAAGAGCAAGCTATCGAGCGAAAGAGAGAAGTGGTAGACATAAGATTCAAGATTCAAGATCTTCAAAAGGCCGTGGATCTCCCATTAACGAAAGGAAACATATCCGGCATAGCATTCAAGAATTCTGAGAGCAGAGAGAGAGAGAGAGAGAGAGACAAAGCAACATGGGCAGTAGACTTGAGAATGGTCCTCTACGCACACAGGCAGTAGACTTTATCCTCCTCCTCTACTCCTCACCCTGGCATGGTCGTCGGAACTGCCGCCGCAGCTACTGCGGGGAGGAGGACGAGCAACAGGCTCTGCCTCTGCATTGCGAGGCTGATCGGGTGTCTGAGGGGATGGGGGGTGGAGGGGTAGAGTCAGGGGGAAACAGAGGGGTACGAATTTTTTAAGGGGGTATGGGTTATTCTGAGCTTCGTCAACTCCTACAGGGTCATGGCATTTTCCTTTTAATTTTGGGGTGGGGGTACATCAGCAGGGGGTGCGGGAAGAGCTCAGGTCGACCTCCATAGGGTAATCATGGAGAAATCTAGATGAGGCATAAAGGAAACGAGGGGTGGTAGGGGTTCAGGGTGGTAAATTCATGGGGGTGATCCGATCCCTAAAAATTCTGGGGTAGAATTTACCCCATCTGCTGAAAAAATACCTGAAGTACCCACCCTTGGGACTAGTTTTAGGTATGGTGGGGTCTTTAAATTTTGTAGAGGGAAAGAGGAGGCCGAATCTGGGTTGAAGCAAATGAGAGGGTGGTTGCAAACTACCCCCCTAGTTTCCTTGTATCCTGCTACAGATAAAGGGTGGGGTAGTGGGGTGATTCTGATTCGGGGGTAGGTATACAGCGACGTAAGCCGCTGTGTCGAAGTCCTCGTCGGAACCGGCGGTCGGCAGCGGGCCGGGAGCGGGGATCGGATCGGGCACGGGCCGCCGCCGGCCGCAGGCCGCAGGCCCTACGGAAAGTTGCCCAGCCATCCGAGGCATCCGAAGTTCCGAAGTTCGATAAAGGGAGGCTTCATGTATTTACAAGAGATTTAAGTTGGAACTTCGGAATGCAGTGATGTATTTACAAGAGATTTGAAACGAAACTTAGCGGCTGAGCGAATCAAGTGTCATTCATGGGGCGGCCGCAGACGCGCGGCGGCGGGCCGAAACGGTAACCCGGACCCGGCGCGACGGTCATCCTTGTACCACATAAAATTCAAGATCTCCAAAGTCAAAGTACTACAAGTTGCTCCAGCGTCAGTCACAGTATAAGATAGCCTGGCATTTAGAATGGAAATGCAAGCACAAATCTTACCATGCTGCCAAAGAAACAACATAGGCAGAAAACAGACACCTGAATGAACGATGGATCAGTTTTGGCGCTACACGCGAAATCCCTTTACATGTTGAGCAACAGCACGAAACGTATGTGTTGCGACGTCGTTGCGGTAATCACTCTTGAGCAGCAAGTCAGTAAGCAACGAGCAGGCGTGTCCGATCTTTCGATACCCAATCCTTCACCATATACATCCCAACAGGCAGGTACAACGTCACCTGAAATGGGACAAAAAGTGATTTATTTCCATTGAGATCCTGCCACTCTCACCGCAACGAGAAAAATGTTTGATATCCATCGCTTGTACCTGTAACAGACAAGAAGTGAGATTGAATTTACCAATATCGCTAGGGAAAATGAGGAATGAGGCAATCAAGCTATACCGTAGGCTTGTCTCAAGGCTTGTGTAGCTCTTGAACGGAATTGCAATCGACGGCTTTCCATCTTTGCTCTTAGTAAACGCTCGTTATTTCGAAAGCAACAAAGCAAATGACCCAACATACCCTTTTCGCCAAAGTTTGCGCCCTTTTGTAAAGTAGTTCATAGACAGATTTGATCATGTATAAATAGACGATGCTGCACCGCTTGTGATATTCGAATGCAAGACAGCCAACGTATTGTACCACGGTAGAAAGAACAGCAGAACGAAGCTCAGGTGGAGCTCAGGCGAGCTGCAAGCATGTCAGGAACAGAGGAGGACAGAGACAAAATCAACCGTTCTGTATCAAAACATGCAAGCAACCCGAGGTTAGGAGCGGAGATAAGTCCAGCTTCGTTCCAAACACATCAGAAGAACGGATGTCTCAGTCAAATATACCGATGAGAGCGGCAAAGTTCCGTTTTGAACAGGTGCTGTCATTAGGATCCTTTCGAATAAAAGATGTTAGAATGAAAGAGAACAATAGACATCTCTGACCGGATACGTTACATCCACATCGATGCATATCTTCCCATAATTGATAACGACAACCCAAACAATCAAGCACTGTAGCAAAAAGCGTCAAGAATGCTCCAGCTCAGCCAGGCACTAGAACCGAAGTTACAGTCAGCCCATAAGAGAACAACCCAGCTTGCGGCGCATCCTTTGCTGTATCACTGCAAGCACCTCTCTGAGCACTTCACTTGAGATACCAATGATACCTGATGTAAGGCCAAGGGATCCCTCCGATGTCATGCCCGTAGTATCGATTCAGCGCTACACTGTCTGCTTGTTAGACCATGAGAACCCCCCAACATGTGTAAAGAACCTTCCCAGAATCGAGCAAGATGCTACTAACAGTCCGAACAATGGTATGTACCTGGATGGGAAACTTTTTCTGGTCAATTGGAAAGGATAAAACGACATACACAGTCACCTGACAGCAACAGGCCTGATGTGCGGCGATCTTTCCTGGGATTGACAGAGTTAAGGTCGTGGGCAATATGGAATGGACAATTATGGAATACCTTGCCAACTTCCACTGTTTGGATCGTAGCAACCTTCACCGTTGGCATCTAAAACCTGCTTTTCACAGTGAGCACTTCCAGGACTTCGTGAAGTACCTGTGCTACAATCTACTGCATGCACACGAGAAACTTGTCATCTTCAATCATTCTCGAATGCATTCTAACCGTGGGATCAGCCCTCAAATTATCTTAGCTCCTATTCATAGCATCACTTTCCTTACTCCAGGTCCTGATCCCATTTTCCATTGGCTTCAAGTCCTCTTCTTCTCCCTGGCTTCGTCCTCCACATGCTTGTCAACCCCATCAACCGATCCTTCTGCTGCCCCTGCTGCCCTGTTCTTCGCCCCTCCCACTGCCCATCATATTTGCAGCTCCCACTCGGCGCATCGTGCGATTGGAGAACGATTTGTTTGTTTCCATACGTTACAATAAAACGTATAGTACCTACCCTCCCAGATTCCTATTATTTCCAGGTAAACAGCAGGTATATTGTACTGCAATAAAAACTGTTGGGATCATTGTTCCGTTTTGTGGTGACATCCCTACCCATCCTTGGGGTAGTTATCACCCCCTCCTCTCTACCTAATTTTGTGCGTTACATCACCCCTTCCTTCTGCACCCCGACCCCCGTTTTTCCCTACAAGTCAAGTTTTAGAGCTCCTTTAGATCTTTTGTACTAATTCTTAAAAAGTGCGTGTTTTACTACTTGTTATTTTCCTAAATAATGAAATACCGTGAGACAATAAAACTTTGTTGATATTTCAATAACTGTTTTTGGGAGCTTTTTCCGTATCGTATTAAAATATATTTTTGTTCAAAGTACTGCTTCTTGTACCAAGGTACTACACTAGAGGGTGCCACGTCTGATTCTCCCCCTCATGCAGGCCCTGCGCGGAGAGGACAGGGACAAGATGGGAGGGTGAGGGTGAACGGCAGCGAGGAGAAGGAAGAGGAGGAGGAGGAGTTTTTTACTGAGGACAGCAGGAAGCTAAGGGAAAAATGGAGTGCCTGAGGTAACGAGGAGACTGGATGTATTGCGCCCCTGGTTGGACCAGGAGGGCATGCTGAGAGGATCAGTGAGGGAAGGGAGGGAGAGGCTTCAACATGGTTGAAGGGAGGGCTGAAATGAAGATATGAGAAGGCATGTTGCAGAAGAGAGAGGAAGGGTGGCGAACAACAACTTGTGGCAGCGATTCTTCCCCACCCACACGGGGTGATTATGATAGGTTCATGGAGGAGGACCCACTGACTTGATAATTCTGTACGAGAGATCGAAGGTGATGAGAGAAACAAGCATCATTGAAAGTTTAACACTTGATTGTGATGCTGGTTTGAAGAATTTCATTCAGCCTATTGGACATGCTCCAAGTCCTGCTGGACTAACATGACAGCTGTTGGCAGGTTCGATTTGGGTTGTACCAAGCTTTGTATCGGCTTCACCGCAGCCGTTTTTGTCGCCTTCAAAATGCTTCTCAAGACTGTGAGATCCTTTCTTCTCGTTTTTTTGGAGTAGCTTCTTTCTGTCTGTTTTGCCGATGATTGACAATCTTTTGTTGTTTTCTGTCTGAGATGAGATTCTCTGAATCAGTCCTCCTCATAGCTCGTCCCTTTCACTTCTGAACGAAGTTCTTCAGGCAAAACGGTCTGCAACTGTCGCATGGTCGCCTCTCAGCAGCCATCGCGGGTTGATTGCAGTCGGAACTGTTGCCAATGCCATCGACGATTCGTTTGAGACCACAGCTGATCTGGAGATTCTTTCCATCGACTTCTCTCCGAACTCTGCCAAGGAAATGCCGTCAAAGGGGACAGTCAAGTCATCCGAGCGCTTTCACCGCCTCGCATGGGGTGGAATGTCTGCAGGAATGAACTCCTTCCCTCTTGGCATTCTAGCTGGTGGAATGGTAGATGGAAGCATCGGGCTCTGGAACCCGGCTGCGATCATCAAGTACTTGGTTGATCTTGCAAGCTCGTTCATCTGATGTTTGCTTGATCAAACAGAGAAGTAGAGGGCGAAGCACTCGTAGCCAAAGTCCAGAAGCACAAAGGCCCAGTCCGTGGACTTGACTTCAACGTCTTCAAACCGAACCTCCTCGCATCTGGTGCGACCGAGTCCGAGGTAAGTGTGTTCTGCACATCTACAGAACGGAGAAGTGCTGGCTCTGGATGAAGTTCCTGTGCAGATTCTTATCTGGGACCTTGCAAGTCCTGCTTCTCCCAATGTATATACACCCGGTGCTGCAAGTCAGCCTTTCGCCGATATCAGCAGCGTCGCCTGGAATCCGAAGGTGCTGTAAACGACGTGAACCACCTCTTTTTTGAGGCTTTTAATTCAAGGTGGAGCATATCCTTGCGTCTACTGGGGCTAGCGGCAGCTCTGTGGTTTGGGATCTCCGCCAAAAGCGACCTGTACTAAACTTTTCCTTTGACAAGCTCTCTCGTGATGCCTTCCCTTTGATTTCAGGTCATTTCCTTCACAGACAGCTCCACAAAGACCTCGAGGTCAGCTCTTGCCTGGAATCCAGAAGTTGCTACTCAGGTATTTTGGCTCGAGCTGATGTGACAAGATACACCCAGTGAAAACTTGACTCTTTCAGGTTATGGTTGCTTCAGATGATGACACGACTCCAGTTGTTCAGATGTGGGATCTAAGGAATGCTCATTCTCCTGCAAAGACGTTGATGGGACACACTCGGGGGATCTTGGACATCTCCTGGTGTCCGTTCGATGCCGCCATGCTTTTAACATGTGCTAAGGACAATCGAACCCTTTGCTGGAACCCAAGTACCGGTCAGATTTTGTGCGAGCTGCCGTCTAGCACCAATTGGAACTTTGACGTCCGATGGTCTCCAAAGCTGCCGGCCATCCTGACCAGTGCTTCTTTCGACGGGTATGTGAACATTTACTCCCTGGCTGACACGGGTAGTGGACCATCATCGATTAAGCAGGTAGGCACTCTGTCTCTTGACACAGTATAGTTCTGAAATTTGTTTGCAGGCTCCTGGCTGGCTCAAACGTCCTGTTGGAGCATCGTTTGGCTTCGGAGGACAACTTGTCTCATTCAACAAGAGCTCGAATCCTGAGGCCCACAGAGCCGTCGTGCACATCCGCAAGCCTTGCACTGAGCCAGAGTTCATCGAGAGAGCCGAAGCCTTGGATGTTGCAATGACTCAGGGAATGTTGAAAGAGTTTTGTCAGAAGAAGGTCGAGACTGCAGATTCTCCCGATGAGGCGAACGAGTGGCAGTTTATGAACATCTTGTTCGATGAGGACACCAGACGGAGGTTGACAAATTTTGTCGGATACAGCCGTGAAGATATCAGCAGTCAGGTAAGCGCTAGGAAGCGTGTCCTTACTTTGACCTCAGGAGTTGAGTTCAACTGCTGACAGGTGCTCGCTCTTCAACTGAAGGACTTGAAGATCAACGAGGGAGGATCCCTGCACAAGAAGGACAAGAAGAAGAACAAGGTTGAGGAGAGCACGGAAAAGCCGCAGCCTACACAAACTGCGAGCCAAGAGAGCGAGGCAGCGGCCAACTCGAGTGTAGATACCTTGTCCGTGATGTTTTTGGTTTGCGTTGGGCCGTCTGACGAATATTCTTGTTAGATTCGGCGGATCAGGCGAAGGAGATGACTTCCTTGGAGGCGCTGCTCCTGTTCCAGCTCAGAATCCTCCGGAAAGCAAACCTCAGCCCATACCTGAGTCTAAGCCTTTGGTGGATGAACCTGTCGGACCCAACGAAGTTCTTGATGAAGCCATCAAGAAGGCCATCATCTGCGGAGAGTTTGAAGCTGCTGTGGATTGCTGCTTCAAGTTTGGACGCATGGCAGACGCGCTGCTTCTTGCAGCCACGGGGGGAAAGGAATTGTTTCAGAGAACACAAGAGAGATACCTCCAGCTGCACGAGGCCCAGCCATTCGTCAAGATTACGAGAAGCATCGTCAATCACCAACTTCAGTCGCTTGTGAGTTGTTCCCAGATAACTCCCTTTTACTGAATGCCCCTTATGTTCAATTTTGAATCTTTATGATTGAGAGAGCGTGTAACCTTCCTTTGTCTTCCAGGTTGAGCAGTCGGATCCAGCGGCCTGGAAGGAAACACTAGCTATTCTTGTTACGTACGCCACCGCCGATGAGTTCGCGACCTTGTGTGACAACCTGGCGACCAGACTAAAGGTGAGACATCTACTGTGACTGGTTGCAATGGACTGATGCTTTTTTGAATTCAGGAGGTTGGAAAGAATACCAAGGCTGCAATTCTCTGCTACATCTGTGCAGGGAATGTCGACAAGACTGTCGACATCTGGCTGCAGGAGGAGGCTTGGGCTGCGGGTTATTCCTCGATCAAGTTGCAGAATCTCATTGAGAAGATTTGCGTCCTGCTCGTCCTGGATGTCTGCAAGCAAGAGGTCGTGCCGAATGTCGTCGGAGACAAGTACGCCGAGTATGCTGGGATCCTTGCATCTCAGGGTAGGCTCTCCCTCGCGATGCAGTACTTAGTTCGGGCCACAGCTGCAGACAGTCTGTCAGCCTCTGTCCTTCGAGAGAGAATCTTCAACTCGGACGTGCGCAACTTTTACAGCGTACCCCAGCACCAGCATCCTCCTTTTCCCTTCGAGGTTCATGATGTTGGTGTAGCTCCGGCTCGACCAGTCCAGCAGCCCCTCTCCAGCGGCTCTACTGGTGCACCCCAGCAGGCCTACAATGCTGTGGCGGATGCTTTCGGGGATGCCTTTGGAGCTCCACTGAATGTGCAGCCGCTGGCCGCTCCTCAACAACCCATGCAAGTGCCCCAGCAGCCTGTTCAGCAGATGGGAATGCCTATTCAGCCGCAAGCACAGCAGTACAACCAGCAGTTTGCGGCGCCCCAGCAGCAGAACGCGTATGCAGCTCAGATGCAGACCACTTACCCTGGTCAATTGCAGCCAGCGCAGCCCGCTTATCAGGTATCGGCAGCAAGTGGGATAGACGCCCCATGCTCACCGTCTTGCAGGCCCAACAGCCAGGGGTCTTGCCTCAGGGAGGGATGCAGGTAACCCAAAAGGCTTGAGGACCACGTGACTCTAAACTGATCGCTGCTTCTGCTTTCCAGCCACAAGCAGCGCAGCAATATTCCCAAGCTCAGTCCCAGCAGCCGACCATCGTCCCCGCTGCCTCGCAATACATGCCTGCAGGCCAGATGGGTGGGATGGCTCCCCAGCCTGTTGTCCAGCAGCCCCAGATTCACGCTGCTCCGATGATGCAGTCGCAGCCTCAAGCAGCTCCTCAGCCTGCATACCAGGTAGTGTGAATGCGCACGCTCGTCGCGTGTTGATATCTGGCTTTCCAGCAGCAGATGCAGCCTCCTCCCCAGCAGCAGATGCAGCCTCCTCCCCAGCAGCAGATGCAGCCTCCTCCCCAGCAGCAGATGCAGCCTCCTCCCCAGCAGCAGATGCAGCCTCCTCCCCAGCAGCAGATGCAGCCTCCTCCCCAGCAGCAGATGCAGAGCGCTCCTGCTGTCCAACAAGCATACGCGTTAACGCAGGAAGACGAGTACGTCCTCGGGTCTTGTGCAAACATGCAAGGCAGGTTCTGCCCGACCATGCAGAAGAAGATGGCCGAAGACGTAGGCAAGCGCATGAAGAGCTTGGATGAGAGGATCAGAGCTGGGCAAGTGTCCAAGGACGTGATGGGTCAGCTGGTGAGCTACTGCCAAGCGCTTGAAAGAAACGACGTCAACTCGGCCTCGTCCATCCAAACAGCTCTGACAGCAAGCCACTGGGACGAGCACCGGCAATGGCTGGTGAGTAGCTCTCTTCGTCTGGTCACTGAGGGTCTGACACTTTGCCGTCTGTCTCGCTCACAGCAAGCGTTGAAGTGGATCCAGGATCATGCGAAGAAGTCGATGCAGTGAAGGGTCACTGTACGACTCACGGCTTGCGAGATGAGATGTTCGGTTGTACCTGACACGCGTAAAGCCCTTCCTATCTCATCTCCATGTCCTCTCGGCTTGTTGGCTGCCGCTGGGAGCTGCTGCGGGAGTGACTGGTCGTGCATTTCTTCGAGTAAAGCGACAGCAGGGGATGAGATTCTTTCCCAGCAGCGCGTGAGCGACGCAAGTGAGGTCGCAAGTCCAAGTAGCCAGAAGCCTGCAAGGCTCTGCTGGCTGTCGCTGTAGGACCTTGCGCTTGTCTTGATTTTGTGCGTGTGCTCCCAAGAAGACTCCGCCCCGTCTTGTACTTGTGGAGCAGATGAAGGTGAAATCACAGCGTCGCTGCATATCACCGCAATACACGTGTCGAGAGAGAGCCTCTCGACAGTCCTCTTGACGGAGTGTACTGATGTTGTACCCATGAAGTGTAACGATGTAACAGCATCAAGCCGAAATAGCGAAAGCTATAAGGGCAATATGGAGTTTTATATGAAATACCTCCGGTACCATGTCGGGTACGTTTGTGGTACTTCATCAGGCCAAATATCGGCTGTGCATACCATGCCCGATGTGGCAGGGTGCACCTTGCAAGTTGTATGATAGACCTGGCGGCTAGTCGTAAACTCAGTACATACGACATGTATAGTGCTACGAGGATGAGGCTTGACCGTACATTAGCGAGATCATCTACGACACTACTTAAGCCAGGAGAGGAGCGGCTTCCGCTGCTCAATCTTTCGCTCTCTTCTGCATTGGTCCCTTCACAAGTTATCTTGCTGCTGCTGATACATAAACAAATCTAGCTTCATTCTTCATTCTTCCAGTGCACTTTGCTACGTTGTTGGAGCAAGTCCCACATCATGTACAGCAGTCTCTTCCCTGTGGTGTGCTAGGGAAGAGAAAAAAAGAAAAGACATCAGCACAGGCGGGGTACTTGATTTGTTATCTCATAACGTGCGACATGAGGTACTAGGCTTGTGCAGCCTCCCTCCCGAGGGGATCAAGATGTACGGCAACCCGTCGACGCCTTCATCGTGTCCTCCCTCACTTTCCCTTGAGGTACAGGCCTACAGCCCTGTCGCTGGGAAAGTCGGAGATCACTATCCCAAGCTCGTTGTCGGACGTGACCACGATCTCGTCCTCGTCCTCGTCCAGGTAGCAGAGGTGATATGAGTCGCGTAGGAGGCCCAGGCTGGCTTCGAGGTAGTTGAGCAGGACGTTGAGCCCGTTGACCGGGACGTCGGATTGATCCATGAGGAGCTTCAGGCTGCAGTGGTGTGTCGACCTCCCGAAAGCTGCTGCACTGATCGAGAAGGCTATCTCTCGCGTGTGGTATCGTGACCCAGCAGAGGCGGCGGCCTGTCCCCGGTCAGCACTGTCTCCGTCAGCATCAGACTTGAACGGGCGGAGGAGCCTGGAGATGGTAGACTTGCTCTTGCCGAAGATGTTGGCGATCTGGACCTGCGTGGTCGTACCCCTGTCATCGCGGTTTCGGCTGTTCCAGATGTTGATGATCGCTGCCTTGTCAAGCTTTGAGAGTCTTGTCTTGCCCTTGCAGAGGTCTCGGTGTCTCAGCCGGTCTGCTTCAGTCCAACATCGTGTCCTACGAGGCCTGTTGTGGCCGGTCGGAGATGGGCTAGCAGACCAGTCGTCGGTCTTGTCATACTTGACAGCGTCTATCAGGAAGTCGGTAGGCGAGTCGAGCGAGTCCCGGGGATCCTGCTTGATGTATGCTGACATGGACTGGACATGTTGCGCATCATCCCACAGGAGGTTGAGGGGAGCATCATCGATACAGGCGTCAGTCTCATTCCAGTCGAAGGAGAAGGGGTCCATGGGAGTCTGATCGTGGAGCTTGAGGAGGAGAGAAGAGGCGAGAGCTGCCGATAGGTTGAGTCATGGGAAAGATGACATGCGAACCGTTGCGGTCCACTGAGTTTTGCATCCGAAGCGTTGCGAGGTGATAACTCGAAGTCGGATGTTGGCCCATGACTCCTTCAGTCTAATTCGGAAGTCATGTTAATTGAAGCTGAAAACAACTCAGATGCAGTACCTTGTCGCAAAACTCATATTATTAAGTGAAACTATGGAGTACCTGCTGTCCCAAAACTCATTTTATTAAGTGAAACTATGGAGTACCTGCTATCCCAAAACTCATATTATTATCCCAAAACTCATTTTATAAAGTGAAATAACTGAGAACATTGTATGCCGGAAATAGAAAGGCAAACCCGAGCAAACAAAGGAGGGGGAGGTTAAAGCCTACAAACCCGCCTCAATACTGAAAATACTAGGAAACGAAGGAGGCAGTAGTACCTGCTATTCCAAAACTCATTTTATGAAGTTAAATGGAGTACCTGCTATCCCAAAACTCATATTATGAAGTTAAATGGAGTACCTGCGAGCTCAAAACTCATATTATTAGGAGTACCTGCGATCATTAGGAGTACCTGCGAGCCCAAAACTCATATTATTTAGGAGTACCTGCGATCATTAGGAGTACTTGCGATCACAAAACTCACATTATCAGGAGTACCTGCGACCACAAAACTCATATTGTTAGGAGTACCTGCGATCACAAAACTCATATTATTAGGAGTACCTGCGATCATTAGGAGTACTTGCGATCACAAAACTCACATTATTAGGAGTACCTGCGATCACAAAACTCATATTATTAAGGAGTACCTGCGATCATTAGGAGTACCTGCGATCACAAAACTCATATTATTTAGGAGTACCTGCGATTATTAGGAGTACCTGCGATCACAAAACTCACATTATTAGGAGTACCTGCGATTATTAGGAGTACCTGCGACCACAAAACTCATATTATTTAGGAGTACCTGCGATTATTAGGAGTACCTGCGATCACAAAACTCATATTATTAGGAGTACCTGCGAGCTCAAAACTCATATTATTTAGGAGTACCTGCGATCATTAGGAGTACCTGCGATCACAAAACTCATATTATTAGGAGTACCTGCGATTATTAGGAGTACCTGCGAGCCCAAACCTCATATTATTAAGGAGTACCTGCGACCACAAAACTCATATTATCAGGAGTACCTGCGATCACAAAACTCATATTATTAAGGAGTACCTGCGATTATTAGGAGTACCTGCGATCACAAAACTCATATTATTTAGGAGTACCTGCCGCGGTGCGAGCTCAAAACTCATATTATTAAGGAGTACCTGCGATTATTAGGAGTACCTGCGATCACAAAACTCATATTATTAAGGAGTACCTGCGATTATTAGGAGTACCTGCGATCACAAAACTCATATTATTAAGGAGTACCTGCGATTATTATGAGTACCTGCGATCACAAAACTCATATTATTAGGAGTACCTGCGATTATTAGGAGTACCTGCGATCACAAAACTCATATTATACCTGCGATTATTAGGAGTACCTGCGATCACAAAACTCATATTGTTAGGAGTACCTGCGATCACAAAACTCATATTATTAAGGAGTACCTGCGATTATTAGGAGTACCTGCGATCACAAAACTCATATTATTAGGAGTACCTGCGATCACAAAACTCACATTATCAGGAGTACCTGCGATCATTAGGAGTACCTGCGATCACAAAACTCACATTATTAGGAGTACCTGCGACCTCAAGCACCCCTACTTCCATTGGGTAGTACCCCCTCAAGCCCCTACCTGGTCACGTAACCATTTTTAATTAACTTCGTTGACTCATCATGTTAACGGATCTTTCCACACGTTTCGAGGGTCGGGTACTGTTATGAGTTAGCCTAGGGTGGGTAGTCAGCGTGATTTTCCGGGTCGGAGATACCGGTCCTTCCCTACGTATACCAATACTTTGAAAGTGTGGGTTGGGTACCTCACCCTACCCTAGTATGGTTAGCCGAAATTGCCTTTTCAGGTGAAAGGGCAAGAGTTCCTACTGTTTGGAGTCCTACCACTCGCTGGACGGGGTGGTGGACCTCATCATTCTCTGGAGAAGGTGGGGTGGTTGTTCGAGTGGATCATCAGATGACGGGTAGTGGATGAGTTGAGAGAGTTTGTAGACGGTAGGGTACCATGGGACACTGGGGTACTACCCTCATGCAGGTAGGGGTGCTGGAATGGGGAATTCGGGGGTAGAGTGTAGGGGACTGGAGGGTGGGGATAGGGGGCTGTTGAGGCGATGGGAAGGTTTCGAGGCAGGTCGGCGCATGCTGATGGCGAGGCGGAGGAGGAAGGAGCCTGAGGGGATCAGGAGGCGGAGCGGAGAGATTTTGGAAGCCTTTGAAAAGGGGAGGATAGCTGGGAGACACGACGGAGCACTGGGGCAGAATGTAGAGGGAGAGAGAAACGGGAAGGGCCATACCATAGTGGACCCGATAGGGTAAGATGGTGTGGCGGTCATGGCAGATTGGGACGACAGAAGAGAGGTTTACAGATGTCGTAGGAAGATTATTGAAATAGAATGAAGAAGGATTGTATTGTCCTAATGCTAGAGCAGGAAAGACCAACTGTATTGAATTCTTAGCCATGAGAGCAACTTGCATTTTTGATGCAAGCAATCCCTGTGTGTGTGTGCTCCATCAAGTAGAAATGAAGTGTCAGAGAAAAGGTTTGTTGATGTCGAAATTTCAAATTAGAATTTCTGATGATTCTCCGTGCATCTGATTAGTGCCTGATAGCAAGGTCGAAGATGGCACCTCAAATTCTCCAATGAAGAGGGCCTCCACAGCATAATCGACTTGCAATAAGAGAAGTAATCTTGTGTTGAATCGAAAGATTGTCCTTGAAGATGCTGACCCTCGAGGTTTGTCACCCTATCACCTATTACAATGCTCCCCTCATGTCTACTCAGGAAACCATGGAACAATACATCATGGAACACATCGAAGCGGTAGAACAAGAATTTGAAAACTATTTTCTCACGCTTGCATAATTTACTTTTTGCAGATCAAATTTGCTGTTGTGTCCAGCAGAGGGATTCATTCCGCCTGCTTGCTGACTTTGAATTGTGACAACGAGAATCGCGACAAGTTGACACAGACAGCGGTCAACTTTGCAGAAAGACATGGCAAGCCGTCCTTTCCTTGCACTCGCAAAGCTGACTCTGCATGAGAATAGGAAGCCATGCTACCACAGTGGAGGAAGCAAGAAAGTGCAATAACTTTCGTAGAGCGCTTCTCAATACCTTTGCAGCTTGTAACCGGTAATGTGCGATATTTGAATCTGCGTTCAATTCATGTGGCTGTGAACCAGAGAAATGGTTTCGAAGTACAAGACAAGTATGATACGCCCTGCACAGCTTCGTCGCTTCACAATCCTGACAGAGCAGGTGTGAACAAAGATTGATGTGAAATAAAGGTTATCTGATCCTGCTTTCAGTTTTCTCTTGAAGATGAAACTCTCTACGATGAAAAGAGAGTTAATCGTCAAAGAGTGAGAGTCGAACTCTTCCGACAGTCAGTGACGAGGTGCGAAGGTGTTCGAGATCTTTTCAGATGTTTTCGACACCATGTTCGAAGCTGTGTATGATGAGCGAGGGCATGATGAATCTCGGCATGGACCGGCTGAACGGGCTGAAGCTTCTAGACCTTCCGATGACGACAGTGAAGAGTCAAGCGACCAAACAGAAGCGCGAGCAGACGCGTGTGGAGATGTTGAAACCTCTATGAGCATGATGGTAAATCTCTTTTCACTGGTCATCGGCTTGATTCGCTTACGCAGACAGACACCACCGCAAAGAACATTCCTCCTGGTGGCCCAATCCCAACAGAAGGAGAGCTTGGAATCTTTGTGCGTTCAAGAGAGCCGAGACCAAATGTCTTCCGTCGATGGGTCAGCAATGTGAGCGTACTGAGATACAGCAGACGATCTCTGACGTGCTTGCTGGTACTCTTGTCTTCAACTTGTCAGATCAAGCTCTACTTCACGTGAGTTGTCCGACAAATCATGTGCATGTCAGAGTTATGTGAGCACATGGCAGGTGCTGCGGGCCGCATTCGCAAGCCCTCGACGATGATATTCTGAACCCCGGACATGCCGTTGTCAAAAGAGCAGCTCCTGGGAACCAGAACGTACAGAATGCAGGAGAGCTGGCAAAACAAGCGCACTCGGATGAAAATTTTGTTTCTGCCGCCCCGTTCGAGTCAATTGACTGGAAGAACGAGACGACCGAGGAAGAGAAAGCAGTGTCCAAGTCATCGAGCTTCAGCGGTGAATGTTTCAGCTCTTGCGTTCAATGTTGATGGTTTTGACTTCAGTGCCCACCAACTATCCCATTGCTTCTCCTCCCAAAGTCTCTCTGCCTCCTTTTGACCCCCTGCCAACCGTGAGAGCCCTCATGCGACTGTTTATGGTGGTTGATTGGTGACACCTTCAGGACTTCTACTCCAAGTCGTTCTACGATTCTCCGCCTTCTCCTTTCGCGGTAATATGTTCTCCGATCCTCCTCAAAAACCTCCTCGTTGCTCATCTTCCTTTTCAGATCTCACCCTACGAGAAGATGGTCCTGTACGACCCCAAGGTGCCGTCGAGATCGAGCGCTTCAAGGCGCCTCATTCTCGCCAACGAGACCATCATCACCAACGTGTACAATCCTTCTTCTCCTTCCCGCCCTGTCTTCGCTTCCAAGTACTCGGATGTCAACACGTTCTCCATGACTTACGTGTAGCGTGAAGTTGTAGGGCCATGTCATCATATTCTTTGTTGTTTGTTTTCTTTTACACTCGTGAGAGTCATTTTGTCGTCCTCTCATTCATCGGCGTGGTCTCCTCCACAGCCCTCAGCGGGCTGCATGGTGTCTGCCTCCTCGAGGAAGCAACCCTTCACTGCGTCCCACTTGCCCACCAGATGGCCTGGCCTCAGTTTCGCCCGATTCTCCTCCCACACTTGATGGATTGACTGCAACCGGCAAATTACGTGGAGAGAGGAGGGGGGAGAGGAGAGAGATGTCGATACCGAGACGAGGCGATGATAAACTGCGTAGGCGTCGTTGGAGCAGATGACATCATCGAACAACCCCTTTTCCATTTTGGACTGTTTGTGTTTATCAGCATGAAAAGGGGGAGAATAAGAAGAACCAAGACGAGCTCATGGATCTTCTCTTTGACATTCTTGCTCTTGGCGTTTGATAAGACGCTATCGAGATTCCTTGGGAGAAGGAAGAAGCAGATGCAGTTGACACCCGTCCTCCTCAGCGTCCTGGACTGACATCAGGGAAACTAAGCCATCCTTGAGACGCGAGGAGGGAGAGGATAGAAACATCTGAGAGGATAGAGGATAAAACAGAGCAGAGAAGGGAAGGGCGGGGGAGAGCAGAGAGGTACCTGCATCCCCTCAATGTCGCATGAAAGTAGAGGACATTATTCTCTGAGCTTTGCCGACGAAGAACCTCGACAGCAACACCTCTCCTTCCTTTGCTGTCCTCGAGCTCCACGATTTTGTCCTCTTGGATTGCCCTTTCAAAGCTAAAGAGAGACTATGAGCAGAGCAGAGGAGAGCAGAACAGAGCAGAGCAGAGCAGAGCAGAGCAGAGCAGAGCAGAGCAGAGCAGAGCAGAGCAGAGCAGAGCAGAGCAGGGGATGTACTTGGCTGGGGTGAGCTGAATAGGTGAGTCCTCGCTCTCTGCTAAGGTTTCCTGGTCTTTGTCCCTCCCCTGCTCCCCTTGGCCCTCCCCAGCTCTCTGGGATCCCTCCACCGGGAGGAAATCGTTGACGCACAGGTAAGGAGGTTTCAGGAACAGAGAGGACTGCTCGGCCTGTCTTGGCACTGTCAGTTGAAGCAGAAGTAGAGGGGCCGCAGAACTTCCTTGAGGGTGCGGAAGACTTCAGAGATACAAGTGCTCGGAGTCGTGACGACGGCGATCACTTTCGGGCCACATGGTGACAAGTCTGCGGAGGATGCGATGAGAGAGGGGATGGGGAAGAAAGAGAAGAGGAAGAAGAGCTGTGGTTGGAGCAGAGAAGGGGAAAGAGGAAGGGGGAGGGAAGAGAGAGAGAGACGAGGGTCAAGACAGGAGAAGAGGATTGGTGGAACAGACCAAGATGACCCGGAGCAGAGCAAAGGAATCTGCTGGGTTTGTAGGGATAAAGGGCATGCACGCACATACCAGCAAACAAGGGTTTGTTGGAAGACTTGTGCTCTGCCAGCATCTCTTCCGCGACTTTGTGCACGTCCATAGCATCGATCGCGTTCCAGTCGATCCTCCCTGCCGGCAAGACTTACAACTGCAGCATGACAATGCAGGCCGCATCTACACCTAAGTGAGTATCAGCCCACTGACGGAACTCCGAGCAACCTCCGATGTATCTGCGTTGACGAGGATGTCAGTAGGCAACGAGATGAAATCAAATCGTCTTGTTCTCACTTCCCCGAAACTTCGCTCCATATCACTGGGTTGTCGTGCGTGTTCCACTCAAGAAATCCCATCTTGTTCTTCACGTCTTGGGCCCACATTTTCCAATCCTCTCTGTCCCGCCATGAATCGGAGCAGGATTGAAAACACCCAGAAGTATGGCAAGTCAGATGCGCGATAGAAGTGAAGTCAAATCACTTCAACACTCCTTGACAGCGAACAACTGTACCAAACTGAGATGTCAACAGGTCCGCCATCACGCTCGCCCTGGCAAAGCTGATAGTGACAACTGGATGTCAGACGCTACTAAATATCCCTCCCCTCCCTCCCTCTCCCCTCCCTTCATCTCCCCTCCCTTCCTCTCCCCTCCCTCCCTCTCCTCTTCTTCTATTCTCTCTCTTCCTCTCCTCCCTCCCCTTACTTGTCACTTCCTACTTGTCCTCCAATCATGAGCCGCTCCATGTTTCCTTCAACGGTTCATTACCCACCCCTAATCACAGTCAGAAGTAGGGGTACCTTCGGCCTGTCAAATTAAACAGACTTACACTAGTTTTACTTAATAACTAATTAGCTAGCGTTTTCAGGATTTTTCCTAGTTCAAATCCCTGCCCGCAGGATTTTCCTGAAATCACAAGCTTTGTTAAAACTATTTTATGTGAGAGGAATCTGAGTACCCCTACTTTTGAGTGTCTTGAAAGGGGATGTTTTATTTATTGAAAATATTGAAAATAATAATGATGAAAACAGGAGATTTTAATTAGGGAAATTTTTTCACTTAACTCTGGACCTCTAATTGCTCCTACCCCCCAAATCCTGAGTTTCCTGCGTAGTAGTTTATTGCGCCCTCCGGCCCCCCCCACCCCCCACCCCCCCTTTCAGACCTGCAACCCGCGCAAATCGCTCAGCATGGCCACAGCTGCTGGATCGCAAGGTAGCCGTCAGAAATGCTTGTTCGGTTCACGATGCAAGGTTAGGGACGACGCAGCTCAACTGTATCAATGTACTGCCTGCTCAAACATGTTTCATCATCTTTGTGCTAGTGAATGGAGTGAAGAGTGGAGCGATTGTGGTTGCTCAACTCGCAACCCGAAAGGAACAAAGGGACCAAAAACTTCAGCGCAGCAGCAAACCCCAAAAGGTGTTCCTTCCATCTCTGAAGAACAAATCGTGGAATCAATTGTGGAATACGTTTCAGAAACTAACAGAACTAGAGGGGTATGCAACGAGGAGAACGATCACGACGCAGACGGAGTTGCAGAGGGGGAGGGAGGCGGAGACGAAGCCTCGGACGAGGAAGAAGAAGAAGACGACGACGATGACGATGAAGAGGAAGTGGAGGAAGTGGAAGGCGAGGACGAACAAGAAACAAGAGAAAAAATTGAGTCTGTCAAAGACAGGATGCTGTCGGACAATTCGAAGGCATGTTACTTGAGTTCTGTAAGTCAACTGATTGCATGGTTGTATGAAACCAAACCATTTTGTTTGAATCACGAATTCAAAAGTTGTTTAGACAACGAACCCAGAAATCGTGGTCCAATTACGAAGAAGATCAAAGAACTGTTGAAGAGAAGAGAATTGTTACCATTCAACTCGAGAAGGTTCTCTTACAAGCGATGGACAAGCTATGTGGTCAATGTCATGATGAAGAACAAAACTTTTGCAAGAGAAGCTTGATCAGATGGTGGCAGGCAATTAACAGCTGAGACTGAAGCAAGACTGCATGATGGAAAAGATGGAGGCGGAATTCAAGCAGATTGTCAACTATTTTAAACAGTCTCCGCAAAAGAATGAGGAAAATCGCCTGCTATTGTTACAACAGCCTGAAGTTTCTATGCAACAAAATCATGGCCACGAGAACTTCACGGTGCAAATGCAACTACGAGAAGTGTACACAAAGCTACAGGAAGGGTGGGACATGCACAAACGGATGATAGAGAATTTGCAGCAGCAACAATTTGAATTGCTCCAGCACCTACAAAGGCAGCAGCAGCCGCAGCAGGTAGAGCAACCGCGGCAAGTGCAACAACGGCAAGAGGAAGTAAGTCAGGAGCCACTTCATTCACAGCAACAGCCGGAAGTACAGCAGTGCCAAGGTCAGAGGCTTCTTCCGGAAGATATACGAGTATCGGACGAGGCAGGAGTAACAGAGGCAGCCTGGAGCATTTGGCATTGTGGCAACAATTTAAAAGGAATTCCACCGCTGAAACGTATGAGAGGAAAAGATTTGAGACAGAAGAGCCAAGATAAACGATTGACAGATATGAGGTTTTTCATGAAGCATTTTCATCAATTCATAAGGAAGGTGATCAGGGACAGCGAACAGGACGGTGACAATGAAGCGAGAAGGAGGGAAATGGACCAACTGGTTTGTATAGAGCTGGTTTGTATAGAGCGGGGGAATCCTTCAGTCCGAGAAACGAATGCTTTCTTCATGAAGTATGCCAATGAATACCTGAATTGGAAGCCGCTAGTAGCAGTTTGACGAATCGAGGTGGACAGCTAAAATGGACAAGTTATGTTCGCAAACTGCGAGTCAAGTATAAGTATAGACCTGATGAACTGGAGTGGCTGTGGAATTGAAGTTTAGATCTTACATAAATGTTATGAATCTGAACTCACTTGGAGAATACTCGAACCAAGGGTGACGTAAACATGCAACGTGTTGACTCTGACTGTGAAAATTTTGGCTAAGTGTTGGTCACTCTGAGGCGGGTGGTCACACAAAGCGGGGGTGGGGATGGGGGTTCGATGTGCAGGGGTGGGTACTAAATGATGATTTTAGGGGGGTGGGGTCCATTTCCGAAGAATTTTTATGTCACTTCTATAGTAAATCGAAAAACTGACAATAAAGAATTGTAATATCCTGATTTGGTCTTACAAGTCTAAATATTATAATACAAATATGTATACCAGGAAGACAAATGGATGATCCTCTTCTCTTTCTAGATTTGGTGAGGCAGTATTGGTGACAAGGTCTCCAAACAAACTCTTCAAATCTTTCCATGCCATTGGGAGTATCAATTCGTGGTTTTAGTCGACAGCCCTGGGATTCACTTTGAGCCTGGGAGTAACAGACGCACGATCCTATTGATCTTGCATCGGTAAACTTTCTTCGTACTAATAGAGGGGTTGGGGTATAATAATGACCTCCAGAAAAGGGGGTAGGGTCTTTGCAATGATATTTTGACGGATAACATTCTCAAGGTAGTACCACCCACTCTTTCCCATCCAATGGGCTAGCTTAGGCATCCGAGCGTGGTTTGCGAGCGATACACGCTGCAATCCTGTCTTTGTTGGGTCTTGGACACGCCGCAATATTCATCAGACACTGCTGAACTCCTCTACCACTTCCACTCCTCCACCACTACCTCGACCTCCTCCTCCTCCTCCTCCTCCTCCTCCTCCTCCTCCTGCTGCTGTTCCTCTTCCTGCTGTTCCTCCCCCTCCTTCTCCTCCTCCCCATGTGCCCAAGAAAACCGACTTCCTTGTGCAGATGCCTTCATGTATGACAGAAGTTGACAAAGCAATCACACTGAAAAAGGAACGAGAAAGCGATTTATCTCTTTGATTACGAGGGGACATAATCGCTGATCAAAGAATTCGGAAGCAAGCCTTGAAATAAATAAGACGTTAAGGTGTCTCTATTCGTACAGCATTGATTGTTTTATTGCTTTTGCTGCATCAACTTTTGTCAGGTTTGCTTAGTTGTGCAGGTTGGAAATCTCTGGAAACCTCTGGAAATGTACAAACTGGCATGACCGTGCCTCAGCTTCCACGCATCAGCGCATCCAACCACCAAAAAATGAAAAATCGCTCCATTAGCTCTGAATGTCAAGCTGCTGTCATGAGAATGAACTATTTGAAAGGTCGGTTGCAATTCCAGTGAAGCATCTATATGGATCTCTTTGACCAACTTTGACGCCCACAACCCATCATGAGATCCATCACGTCTTCATAGACTTCCTCTTCAAAAAAAGATTGATACCTGTATCCTGCCAGGTCGTTTCTATCCTGGAAAGCAGTGATCTGGGTGGTTGTTGAAAGAGGAGGGCTGTAGATGGACGTGTCTCTTACTTCCAAACATGACGAATCTAAAGCTGTCTTGCTGTCTTCGGACGATGACGTGTCAGCAGAGTACGAAGGGGCGCTATCACACCAGCTCTGCTCTAACCACCATTTGTTGATCCCAAAATATTTGCAAGCACTCTTGAGCGCAGAGAGTGAAATACCGAGTTTAGCAGCAGCTTCGCGTTGGCTATATTGACGATGATTGCGCAACGTGATTTTGCAAAGGACGACTGGTTGACGCGAGGCTTTCACCTCGTTCTTGCGTTTCCTTGGCACGATGGTGAGTTGGAGGGGTTGAGAAGCTTCCATGTGCGTTGTACTCTGAGTGTACCCGGGGGAGAAGAGAAGATCGGAGAGGGTGGAGATTTATCTGAGAGCCGATGTTATGTAACAAAAGTGGGGAACTGGGAAACTGGAAACATCGTAAGAGCGGGGAAGTCGGAGGAAAGATAGGACATGGGCGGGAGGGAACTTTCAATGAAAGGGGGTAAATTGTCAGCTATAATGGGGGTATTGGCTTTCCCATACATAAAGGGAGTCGGGGGGGGTAGTGAGGGCTTCCCATGCTTAAAGCCAGTGGAAGAAAGGCAGTCGAAAGGGGGTGGGTAGTGATTTACCCCCTTTTTCATCACTTGGTGCTGAGAGGTCAATTCACCCCTTACTCAAAGTTAAGTTAAATCAGAGGACCATCAGAGGCTCGACTACGTTTGTTTGCTTCTTTTTCAGTCAATAAAGGAAAACTGTCCCCCAAACTTAAAAAACAGATGAGATGGCAGCGAAGGACAGGGAGGCCTTGAGCTGACGAAAGATCCTGGACCGGATTCGTTTGCAAGTCGGATCACCTGAGACATCTTGCGAGGCCGAGAGATCATCCAGCGCTGCCGTTTCCTTGTTCGCCGAGCGATCCGCAGCCAGCCCCTATCCCTACTCTTCGTGTCATCATAGGAAGAAGCAAGTAATGCAAGCATCAGGCTGACAACCTTCACAGCATGGAGGAGCTCGACGCGTTCAGGGTGGAGAGAAGAAGATGCGACAAAGATCGTCGAACCCGTCAAAGTTTTCTTTTTTCCACATGATCCGTGCCTTGAAATCGGTCAGCACTCGACAAACTGCCTTGACTCCTCCCTGCTCGCTGCTGATCTGAGCCACGGCTCTGCCCTTGTCCTTGTTTCCCGTCGCTTCACTGCCGCGGTAACAGACCAGCATGTCGGCGTTAGCAAGGATGACTGACTGCATCGGGTCAAGAGCAGCTCGGTCCGGATCGCCGCAGATAGAAGTAAAGATCGCGCAGTCACGAGCAGTGACCCTCTGGTTCAGACTCGCTGATACAAGCTCCGCACAGAGCTCTCGCGCCCTCGTTCCGGTCACCTTGAACATAGGGAAGCACTGTGCGATGCAAGTGACAATATCGAAGATTCCTTCCCTCACCGCTTCTGCTCCTCTCCCGTACTCGAGATCCAGCAGGTGGCTCCTGCACGGCAGACTTTCAACCTGCAGGTTGTGCAGGTTTGTCCTCTTTCCCCCAATATTCAGCCTGATGACAAGGCGGGGAAGGGAGTCCTGGACCTGGTTGTCCGGCAGGTTGGAAGGAATGCGAAGCAGCATCGTACTAGAGTTCAAGACAACGTGATGAAAGAAGCAAGGTTGTAGCTTGTGCTCCTCCTCCCCATCATCATCTCCTTCACTACCGTCACTCTCTTGATCAGAGAAGAAACCTTCCACCAGCACTTCCTCATCCTGCACAAACCCAGACCCAACAACGATCATCCACGAGGAAGAGACTTGGCGGGTGTCTGTGATGACAGGCTCGTGTAAGCTGCTGATTTGCCATTGAGCAGACGCATCTGTTGTCCAGGTCCCATCGCTCACGCTGCGAGGGAAGGAAACAAGCCAGGTCTCCTCCTCCTCCTCCTCCTCCTGCCCATCTGGCTCAAGCTCGGCATGGACGAGCCTTTGCTGCGACAGCTTGAGGTCCAACTTGTTGCCTTGTCCTGACATCCGCGGAGAGGAGCAGCTGCCCAACTTGATGACGCTGAACTTGACGGGGGGATGGCGACCGCGGGGGTCTCGCAGCTCGTGCTCGCAGCTCTCAGTGAAGTCAGTCAGTGACCCGAGGAATCGAAATCGACGAGACGTGGATGCGTCGACAGCAGCGAGACATGTCAAGCTGACCGTACGAGAGCGCGTGTGCTCAATCTCAATGACGGCATCGCCCACGTTCCAGGGCAGGTGACCTCCTCCCGGCTTGTAGAAGGTGATAGTGATGGTCGAGCTCTTGGGAAGCAGAGCTTGCATCTTACGGCAAGCAGCAGCGTCTACTCTCGAGGGCTTGAGCAGACAAGTGTCCTCCCCTTCGTCGTCACTGTCGTCGGCGCACAGACTGTCCGCAACAAGTTCTTCCCAGGCAATCAGGAAATGAGAGCCGATGTCGCCGAAGCCGACGACGACGCTTGTGCTGATAGAGAAGGGTTGGTCACGCTTCCCTCCTGATCTGCTGATGTGCAAGGTGAGTTCCTCGAAGAAGGACGAGAGGTCGTCAGCATCACTGAGGACTCGAGGAGAGATGTCCACTATTTCAACTCTCTGCCGATTGTCACCAATGGTAGCGAGACTATTCAGACCCAACCCGTACAGGTGCATGAAAGGCTGACGGAGAGATACAACGAGGCTCCTGCTCTTCGGAGCGAAGTATTGTGAAGCGAGTTGGGACGACCAGACATGATTTTGTAATCCCTTGAGCTCAAGACTGGGAAAAAACTTCTGGACGATCTCATGAAGACGGGAGGCAGAGGAAGAAAAGTTCTCCACCTTGCCCATGATTGTCATGTCCGAGGCGAAGCTGCTTGCCAGCAAAGTGTCGCACTCGTAGTGCAGGTCAAACAAACCGACCAAGAAGGAGAATCTGAGAACCATCAGAAGGTCCGAGGCAAAGAAGTCGGGCTGAGATTCAGACGTCCTCTCCTTGGGATCCTTGAGGAAACCGCAGTACAGGTAGCTGAGAATAATTTTCATCGCGTTCCTCGAGAGTTTCTTCCCGTCTACTTCAACCTTGCTGACCTGGGGATTCGACCTGACGAGGAAAAGGAAGAACTCTGACTTCGCGCTGACGACGTCACGGTGAGAAGCCTCGGGGGGTAAGCCATCCTGGAAGAGGAAGAACAAGTCCTTGGGAGGAAGGGGAATCGAGATGACGCGCGAAGTCCCGTCCAGGCCCTTGCTGAGAACCTCTACCTCCTGTGCGCTCTTGCGGGCTGTCGAGACGGGGGCTGCAAGGCCCTTCCAGTTAACTCCATCGATCCTCTTGAGATCCCGGCAGAATTTCTTGTCGCAGCAGAGGTCTTGCTCGATCAGAACGTCAAGTCTCGAAGTCAAGGTAGAGACGTGGTTCACTGCGTTGCACTTGATGTCAGGTCCACCCCACCTCAGCCTCACCAGCAGCTCGTTCACCCTGTTGACCAAGTTTGCGCTGCTCTTGATGCTCTTCACGTTTACCTCGTCCAGCAAGGACATCTCGAAAGTCACTTTCCATGCTTCTGTTCCTCTCACGGCTATGGAGGAGAGTTGGACGTCAAGAAACTCTGCCCCGCTGTCGGCGCACAGAGCTGAAATTATCCCTCGCAAGAGAACGTCTAGTTGGTCTTTAACGTCTGAAAGTTTCTTGGTCCCTGACAGCTCAACGCTGACAAGCTCCCGCTTCTTGAGCTCGTACTCGTGACATGGTTGGAGCATTCGAATCGCTCCCCTGAGGCATCCCAGGTGAAGGTGGAGGGTCGGGATTGGAGTCTCATCCAGCTCCTCCTCCGTCATCTCCCCAGCAATACACTTGACCGACTGCAAGCTCATCCCGCACTCCAGCAAGAAGCCTCGCCCGCACTTGGGGCAGACGTGGCGGGAGCAGTGGCGGAGGAGGTTGAAAGGAGAGGCTCGCCGCGACTTGAATCGCTTTACGAGCACATCACAGCAGTCCTTGTAGGAGTCCCGCTGACTGCAAGCAACCTGCTGCTGGTGCCCGCAGCCTGGTAGCGTCACCTTGACGGGCTGCGAGCACTGACCGCAGGAGGAGCTGCAGACCTTGAGACACTGATGCTTGCAGGAGGTGAAGGAGTTGAGACAGGGGCTGAGGCATCGGACCGACTGCTCGCAGGAAGCACGGCAGAAGAGCTTCAGAGTGTGCTCACAGTCCCTAGATCCCTCCTCCGCAGTCGTAGGAGCTTCAGCATCGCAGCCCCCGTCGTAGGAGCATCGGTCAAAGTCTTCAGGGAACAAGAGTAGCTTGCCTTCCTCCTTGCCTGGTCGTGGCTTGATGCCGATGCTGAGCTGGACTTCAGGATGTCTCCGGCACACAAGTTGAAGGAGATCGTCCTCCACATAGCGGTTCGTATCCTTTGCCTGCCGCACGAAGGAGCCCAGCAGGTTCTCAGCTGAGGAGGCGGGCTTGTGCTGCAAGAGGCCCTTGAAGTTTGCGAGGACGAACATCGCCATCCTCGCTCGCGAGAAGGCGACACTGAGCCTGTGGGGATCGCGAACCCATCGGCAGCAGAGGTCCTGCTGGGAGCGACAGAAGCAGAGGATGATGACGTCAGCCTCGAGCCCTTGAAACCCGTCGACCGTCGAGACAGAGACTCGCAAGAGGTTCTCCGTAGACTTGTCGGAGAAGCCCCGATGCCTCATGTCATGCTCGGCGCGAAGGAGGGAGCGGCTGTGAAGACAGTCCCGGATCTCGTCGCATTGAGCTGCATACATGGAGAGGATGTGGATCCTGGAGTAGCTCAGACCCTGCCGGATCAACCAATCAGCTATCCTGACAGCGAGAGCGCTCTCCTTCCGGTTCCTCGAGCTCAGCAGCCTTGCGCTCTTCTCCTCCTTGTACGGATGGCCGATTAGCATACACCTGCCATGGAGCTCGAAGTCGCTGCCTGACTCCTCGCTGCATCGGATCATGCTTGTCATCTCGAAGCTTGTCTTGCTGCATGCGTCCTGCAACTCAGCTGGAGAGTATAGAGGCCAATCGAGCGCTGAACTTCTGAGGTACTCCATGATGTTGGAGGGAACTCTGTACTGAGAGACGAGGGTAGCGACTTCGGTCTCGAGGTGACACAAGCGAGCCAGCAGGGAGATGTCAGGAGCAACGAGGTCTCGGCTAAGATCTACAACCCGCTCTCCTCCCTCCTCAGTCGCTACTTTGTGTCTCGTCCACACCCCCGGGTTCAGGTAAGGGCGGAGCTGCTTGGTATCGCCTAGAAGGAACACCTTCTTCACGCTGCTGGGAATGCAGGTCAACAAGGAGGCTTCATGTATGCTCCCTGCCTCTTCGACGATGATGACATCGAAGTTCAACCGCATTAAAATTTCCGACATGTTTTGACACCCTGAGATCGTGACCCCGACAACTCTCGCGCTCTTCAGCTTCTCTTTCATGCGCTTCTCCTGCTCTTCGACCTTGATGTGGATTCCTCTGCTCGCCTCTTGCAAGAACTTCTTGAGTTTGCCCTTTTGCATCAGCTGCATGAGCCTCGTAGCGGACGACTTTGACTTCTCTCCGTGAATGATGTTGTGGAATATCTTCTTCTTCTGCCTCCCTGAAACTTTCGAGCTCGCCGATGTCGACATGCAAGTGCGAGAAGAAAGGTCCAAGAACGAAGAGAGCGAGAACTCCTCGCCATCCAACCGCTGTGTTTCATGCACCAGCTGGAAGTCGTTGGGCAAGGAGGAAGCACCGACTCTGACTACTTCAATTCCTGCCTTCAGGCTCAACTTGTCTCTGATCGCCTGCAAGGTCTGATCTAGAACTGGTCCTGATGGGGAAAGAAAAAGGATCCGACTGTTTCCTCCCTCCAGCAGACGTTCAGCAAGTCGAATCCCCACGTGAGACTTGCCGGTTCCAGGAGGTCCAACGAGAATGCGGTAAAAATCTTTCTTGTCAGCAGTCAGGCGCTCGAGAGCTCGTCGTTGCTCGACGTTGTCTCTGTGAAAGCCCAGCTTATTTTGATGTCTACGAAAGAAAGAGTCATCATCGTCACTGTCATCAGTGTCGCTGTGGTCATCTTCGTCATCTTCTTCGTTGTCATTTTCGTCGTTTGTGTTGTGCTGATACTCAACGTCCTCTTCAATATCATAGTCATCATGTTCCTCTTGTTCACGTTGTTGCTTCGAGTCGCACGATTTTCCGTCTCTTTCATCTGCGTTACGAGTCAGCGCAAAGAGAACCTCCCAGGCATTTCCCGACCTTTTTTGTTCGACCTGATCTTGAGCTGGTCTGCTCCGGGTAGATCTTCTTTCAAGTCGTACCGTCTTGTCAACTCGTGGAGAGTCTGGATGTGACTGTCGTCTGTGTCGCATGATGCAAACATGAACATCTCGGAGCAGGAGAGTATCTTCGAGATGGCCTGCTCCAGTCTCTCAACAGACAACATGCCTGTGAACCCTTCTGAGTTGTCACCCCCGATCAGGCATAAGTCGATCATTCCATTCTCGATGAGCAACGCATCGGATGTCTTCAGCGACAGCCACAGCAGCTCAGTGTCAGCTGGGCCTCGTTGCGACTGGAAATTCATCCACAAGAGCACGAGGCCTTGCTCTCTGAAGTGACTGACGAGGGACTTGTCAATGCGGAAGCGAAGAGCGAAGAAGGACTCCAGCTGAACCAGGCCTAGAAAGCCAGCGTCTCTGACGCAAACACCGAAAGCTGAGTTGGAGGGCGAGGAGTGAAGGAAGGACTGGACGAGATGATGGATGGGAAAGAAAGTCTCGATCTTGATGATGTTGAATAGACAGACAATCATGTCTGATGAGGAATCGAAGACAGCTTGATTCCGAACCAACGACACGTCATCTTCCAGCCACTTCTTGTCAGGCAGCGGGTCCAAGTGCAGAGGCCTGACAGTCTTCTTGCTCTTCCTCTCTCTGCACGCAATCAGCGTCGGGTCTTCACCCTCTCTTACGAACGCTCGCAGGTACAAGAAGTCTGCCTTGGAAACATTTTGCAGCTCGTCTCTCCAGTCGGAGGTGAAGCAGATCTTGTTGGTCTTGATGGCTTGCTGCACGTTCTCCTTGAATGTCGGGCAGTCCAGCTGCCCTATGATTGCAAGCCCATGGGAATTTTCTTTGTTGTTCCATAAGTTGTCAACATGCGCGATCGTGCACTTGTGGTACCTCGACTTGAACTTGTGAACGAAGAAGGCACAGTCTTTGACTCGCCTGCCTCGGCAGTTGAAGCATGAATGTCGACAACAGAGATGGCATCCGTCGCATCTATGAGGTAAGAAAAACACCTCTCCTTCAAACTCTTCCTCCCCTTCCTCGCCGACTTCCCCTGCCTGCCCCTTGAAGTCTTCGATTGTTCTGTCGTCACAACAGTATGCTGCAGCGTACCCACTGCACAGACACTTGCTGTCTTGCTCTTCCATCGTCTTGTGGAGAACCTTGTACTGACTTTTCAACACGCAAGCAAGACAAGTGGCCTCGGTGATCTGCCAAACTCCCAACAGCTCGCGGTAGATCAGCTTGCCGACTGCAAAGTTGTGAACGACACCCTGCTTGCTGCAAGAGATACACAACCATCCTCCTTCCCATCGAACAGCTTTGTCATGTGACACAATCATCGAGCAACTTGCACACTCCCGCTGCTCTTCATCTTGTGCGCTGTCAGCACGTTGAACTTCGATCTCCAACGCTTCTCCTAATGTCAGCCTCTTGGAATCCGGTTTATCAGCCTCCTTCTTGGACGGTTGAGAAACAGTTGAGTTGGGGAGCTGCTGGACAGGTGCAGAGGCCTTAAACCTATGTTTCTTGGACTGAGCTGCAGCTGACCCTGTAGACCTAAGGAGAGGTGGAAAGTCTTCGAGTGGCAGCTCATGCCCTTGTTGAGATCTGCGGCTGCTTCTTGAGCTTAATTCCTCACGTGAGATAGTCTGAGCCGAGACGTCAGGAGCTGAGAAATTTTGATCTGCAACCAACTTGTTTGCTTGTTTGCAAGGAGAAGACTGTGCGCACAATCTGCAGAACTTGCAAGACTTACAAACTGCTGCTGTTGAGTTGCAAGAGCAAAGGTCGGAATGATCGATCCGCTTCCCCTTGCAAAACTTTCCAAGTGCAGTACAATACCCGCAATGAGAACATCGAAAGCTCTTATGGAACTCCAAGTCATGGCCAAGGGGATTTCTGAATGAATCCAGTCTCAGTTCTTGTCCTAGGGAACGTGCGAGTACGAACTGACTGTACACGTCGAGCAGGCAGGTGGTGGATAAGAATCGAATGAAATCATCTGATTCCGATCTCAACGGTTCTTCTGCGCTGACCAGCTGTTGACCAGCAGTATCATGATCGAACGGCCACCTCCCTTGAAAGGTGTTGTGGGTGTAGCAATATCGAGCAATGTCAAGCCACATGGAGCTCAGGGACGGTGAAACGACGCTGGTGGCCTGCTGCACGTCTGACTCTTCAAGCCCGTAGACATTGACTTGCTCGTGCGCCTCGTAAAAGTTTACAGCAAGTTCTGCGAGCAACTTGGCATGCCCGACGAAGCAGAGGAGCTGCGAGGCTCGACCCATGGCTGAGTTGAGGCGCTTCGGGTTGAACACAAACCCCTCGTCCTTGTACAAGTCGCTGGCGAGCCAATCCTCGGAGGCGCGTACCGTTGATATGATAACAACCTTCTTTTCTCGCCCTTGAATCGACTCGACCGGCCCCACGTTCACTCGGCTCAGCTGCAGCGCATCGTTGGGATGCTCTCTCAGCAGCTTGCGGATAATTTCGATCTGCTTCCTATGCCCTGATATCACCTGCACATCTTCTGCGCTGATCATGGGGCGGCAGTTCCTCAGCAGGTCCACGAGGATGCTCGTGATGCTCTCAGCCTCGGACACGTTGAAGAAGGATGGCGAGTCAACATCTTGACGGTCGTTTCCGAGAACGTCAAGGAACAGGACGGGGAACTTGTTGTTGTTGGGCATGAAGTTCCACCTGGACAACCAGCTGACGTCCAAGAGGCCTGCTGACTGAATCTTCCCCTCGTAGAAGAGGCGAGAAGAGAGGGCAACTATGTCCGGATGGTTGCGGTAGTTGACCAGCAGCTGCGTCCACAGCTTGTGCTCTTGCTTGTACCACTCCGTCTGCAGCAATCGTTCGATGACTGAGACTCCGAGGCCATGGGAGCGAGCGAGCTTCGACAAGACCTTCGGCCCGATCTGCTCGCTGTCGCCAGACAGGATCACGTTGGTGACGCTGCTGGCAAGGCAGAGAGGCAGCAGAGCAGCAGGCTCGAGCATCTGAGCAGCTTCGTCGATGATGATGTGCGAGAAGCTGACTTTGAGGTCTGACCACAAGAGGAGGCCAGAAGTCTCCCAGGTACTCACGACGAGTCGCTTCATAGCCAACAGCTGAATTGGAGGCAGGAGGAACATGTTCATCTCAGGAAGCATGAACGTGTAGGTCTGAATGAGTTCGCTGCGGTTGTTCTGAGAGCCTGGAAAGCACTGGTTGACAGATCTGTCCGGAGAGATCAGCCGGAATATCCACTCGCGCGGAAGCAAGTTGATTTCATGCAAGCGCTCGACGAAGAGATCTGCTGCGCTGTTGGTTTCTGTGCAGACAAGAATCCTGGTCTGAGGGAAAGTGAAGAGGATCTGAAGGATAGACTCTATCATCGTGACAGTCTTTCCGGTTCCAAAGGGCCCGTGCAAGATGAATGGAGGATACATACCCGGGGAGTTACACATGCTCAAGACTGTACCCATGCACCTGCGCTGCTCTTCATTCGGGTTTGAAATGCTTTTGCACGAAGGATTGACGAAGCAGTCGGGAGGGCTGGAGAACATGTGGTTGGGAAGCGAGGGGTAGAGCAGACGATCTGAAACCTCATCGACCGCATGGTGAAGTTTGCGAAACCTCAGGCGGTCACTTTGAGCCACTTGAAAACGAACACAAACACAGTCGTCTGTTGTCGCCTGGTTCAGAAAGTCTGCAAACCCTTCAGGCATTTGAACTTCGACGCATTCTTTCAAGACTTTCAAGATGGTCCCCATGTACTCCTCGTTGTATGGTGACGCGCTCGCCCCGGAGTTGTCACAGACGATCCAGGCGATCACGTGATCGCCGATCCCCAGCGAGGGGCGACGCTCACTGAGAAGATTTGGGTCAGAGATGACTAGCTTCCATTGACCTTTCTTGAACTTCTCAAACTTCGCACCTCGAGTGTCAAACTCGCGAATCTTGTTTTGGTATTCCCTCTCCTCCAACCACAGCAAGCTGTGCAGACGCTTCCTGTACTGACCTGCAGTGCAACATGGTGCTGACAGAGAATTCTGCAACACCTCGAGGTCAGGAGCTAAATATGCTTCAACTTGAGCGTTTTGCATCAAGCTCTCTTCATCAAACTTCTTTTGCGCTGGTTCTACTGTTGTTCGCTTGCGGAGCTGCTCGTCCCAGACGCGAAAGGGTCTGTGAACTCCTCTTGTCTGAGTCACACCCAACGTAGTTAAATCCTTCTGTTTGGTGATTTTGAGTTGAATGTTGAAGGAGTAGATTGAACTTTGATCTCCATCATTGTAAACTGAAATCAACGTCTTCAAGTTATGCTCACCAAACGTGTACGGAGGTGTTGGTCTGAATTCCACACTCAAGTTTCCTGTCATTCCAAATATTTGCTTTGAGAGTTCATGGAAGTAGTTTGGATCTGTATGGAGCTCAATATCTTTGACCTTTCGTTTTGCAGTGATTTCCATGTCGAAGCAAGCTGATGTACCTAGATCGAGGAATACAACTTGTTCGTTCTCAAGACTTGAACCCTTGTACATACACCTCACGGAGAGCAGATCTTTGTCTGACTTCTTGGCACCTCTTCCAAGTGAGATGAGTCCGTTCTTAGTATCCACTTTCAGTTTGACCACATCTTGATTCGAATCATACATGAAGTATGCAGGCTCGATATCGCATATCCTCTGTATGAGTAGGCTGAAATACGACTCAGGATAGGCTGTTGGAAACACAAAACGTAGAAATCTGTCGCACAGTTCTTGGTAGATCCATGGGAGATTTGCAGACACGAAGTACTCAAGCTCGAGCACGGTCTTCGAGTTTTCTCGCTCCAGATGCATTTGGATAGCATGTGTCAACGCAGTGTATCCAACCTTCAAGCACCCGAGCTTGCCTTTCGGATGCATCTTACCCTCTTGCTCGGATGCTTCCAACGCGTCTGAGTACTTCTGAAAGCTGACAAAGAAGAGGTTGTTGCTTCCTGCTTTCTTGATCACCTCACTGTTTGCTCGCGGATGGAACAACTTCCCGAACTTGGAAAACTTCATTCGAATTGAATCCACTGAAGCATTCGGGTCGAGCTCCAGGACCTGCAACGTGAAGAAGAGCGATGTGGCCGACGGGCTTTTTTGCGCCGATTGTTCTAACTTGCTGATCTGCAAGAAGAAAGGAGGGCGATCATGGAAGCGCTTGATAGCTTTTTGACAGTCTGCAGAATGAACCAAATCGACGTAGAAGACATGATGTCGGGAGAGGATGTCCTTGCGGACGCCATGAGGGCAGAGTCTGAAACTGTGAGGGTGGCTTCCATAATCAACCTGATTCTTGCCGTTGAAGATTTGAGCAATCTGTTGTGCATCTAGAATCTTCGGGCTCCGGCAGAGAGAAACACGCAATGTGTTTCCTTGCACGCTCGAGGGAGGTTGATGAGTGTAGCTGCTCAGTCGCAAGAACAAGGGCTGAGACATGCTGAGCAGTGCAACGGCTCTGCTTGCTAGGCTTTCATCTTGGAAGTTTAAAACCAAGTAGTTTTCACCCTTGAAGATGTTTTCAGTGTCGGGCTGGTCCAGCTGCTGACTGTTCAGAGCTTTGGTGACCTGTCGGACGTCCAGAATCTTGGGAGTCAAGGGTGTGAATTCAGCCTTGACTAGATATCCTGCCTCCTGAGGGACTGAGCCTTTAGTCCATACACTGTATAACTCTCGAATGGGATGAGCGAAGTGGCAATTATCTCCGTACTTGCAGTATCCCCTGATCCAGAACTTGCAAATCTCAGGCATTTGAGATGGGAAGGAGTGAGAAAACAACAAGACCTCAAAGTCTGAGTTCACAAGTCAGTGAGATGATCGAGTGACCTCTTCCTCTCAGTCTCTTCCTCTCAGACTCTTCCTCTCAGACTCTTCCTCTCAGACTCTTCCTCTCAGACTCTTCCTCTCAGTCTCTTCCTCTCAGACCCTTCCTCTCAGACTCTTCCTCTCAGACTCTTCCTCTCAGTCTCTCTCTCACCTGATAGGCGCCCTTATCGTGGCCCTGACATTTTCCTAGCTCAATTGATAACCCACCCCTTTCTCTAGCGTTTTCCTTCCGACCCCCACCCATCTTTCTTCCCAGTACGACCCCTCCCTTTCCCAGCAATCTTCAATGTTGGCTACGAACCCCGGCTACCGGACTCTCTGCACTGAACAGTTGAGCTGGGAACATGTAACTGTAATGTAACCTCCGGCGTTATAACTGAGACAAACTTGGAACTAATTTTGCAATCACATGAACGGACATGACAGTGATAGCCGGGCCCGGGGTTCACTGAGTCTGTAGCGGCCGCATCGAGGTGATACCATGATTATGAGAACAAACTCGTATAAAGCTCACGGGCCGCCTGTCGGACGAATCGAGTCGCGGCAGGTCACCAGTGTCGGAGCGTCCGATTGATGTCGTCAATCGGACTCGAGTCGGATCGGACGGCCGCACTGCACTGGCACTGCGGCACTGCGCATCAGTGTGCATGTGCCTGCAGTGCGGTCACCGGTGACCGTACGGTCGGGCCCGGCGCCGGTCGGATGCCCGGCCCGGGCCGGGAAATTGTTTGGTTTTACACAATTTTTTGTTTGACTTTTAGCGGATCAGGCGAAAATAGATTTCTTTGGCCACACATCATGTTCGCAGCTGCACGGAAGATGAGCGAACTGCTTGCGGTGAGAAGAGAAGAGAGCGAGGATATGGCGAGAGGAGAAGAGAGCGAGGATATGGCGAGAGGAGAAGAGAGCGAGGACATGGCGAGACTGAGAGGAGGAGAGAGCGAGGATATAGCGAGAGGAGAAGAGAGCGAGGATACAGCGAGGGGATCGGAAAACATTAGTGAACAGCGATAAGGAAATTGAGCAGCAGCGAGAAAAAGCAGCTACCAAGTGAGTGACTGAGTGAGTGAATGAGGAGATGAAGATGAGTGTAAGGGGGAAGAAAATTGCGGAGTGAGGGAGGGAATGACTTGACCATTGATGGCGTTCAGATCGGAGAGCATATCCCATGGCCAAAGGATGAGATAGTCAAGCTCTCCCCTCCCGAGCCAGCAATCGTGGTTCACAGGAACAGCCAGGGGATCATCACGCTGGGGTCCGACATCCTTCCCCTCTACCCAAATGTATGTTGATCCTCATGCATGAAATGACATCAAGTGCTGATGGACATATCAGGAGAAGACGAAGAAGTGAAATGCGCGGGGAAACCTCTGAAGATTTTGATTTGTGCTTGTTAACGGTGCAGTGAAGGCAGCTGAACACAGTCTTTCGTTGACTCCTCTTGGATTTCCTTTGTTGCCTTTTCCTGCTCTGGCTCCCTCCTGATCCTGATCTTCTGTCATTTGAGTTTTGCTCGAAGTATTTTGCACTTCCACGCACGCAAGTCCGCTCCTCCAGTCCAAGGAGGTGAATGAGAGGGGGAGGTTTTGGGGGGGAGGGGAGGTGGAGAGAGAAGGAAAGAGAGATGGAGAGGGAAGGAGGGGGGGGGAGAGAGACAGAGTAGATTAGCGTTTACTCTCAATTGGCTCCATCAAGACTCGACGACGAATAATGTACACGGAAACAATATGGCAGGGCAGAGAGGTAGCTTCGTCCCTTAGTAAATTCGAGTTTCTTCGTATCCTTCTGTGCCGGGGACCTGAGACAAGATCGTGTCAAAGAAAGTAGAGATGACCCACTTTCCTCCATCACATCGCTAAAGTGTCGATGGGCACATAAAATCAACCCTCGCATCTCGCAGTTTGCTGGGCGACGTCTGCATCCACGTCACAGATGACAAGATGCCAAACAATGCACAAAATGCTGACCTGAGCTCCTCCTGGTCGTCGGGAGCGATTCCCAGTCCGAACTGAACGACAAATGTCAATAACTGTCAGATCCGATTCAAATCATGAAATGTGGCCAGACACAGTACAGGGATAGTGAAATCTGGGTCAAGGGTGGGGATTGAGGGATTCAACGATAGCAAGGGGTCGTGAAGTGGATAACCTGAGAGAACAGGCGATTCAAGAAACCACTGTGAGTCACCACAGCTATTCTTGACTAGCGAAAAAGGATCAGTCAAGGATCAGTTGAAAGTTCAAAATACTTCAGGTCGCTTTGCTAGCCATTTCAGGAAACGAATACCACGTTCCTTGCCTGCAAACGTTGAGTTGACACCGCTTGCGCTTTCAAAGTCACTTACAGAGTTGGCTGTCTTCTTTGTGGTCAAACCACATCGAGTCGTGCTCGCTTTGAATGCACTGCGAGAAATCCACCTCGGGGAATTCCTCTTTGAGCACACTGACATACGGCTATCAGCAAGTCGCTTTGAGAGTAGTCGCAGACCTTAACCGCCGACGGCTGTCTGCAGGGCAATTGGTAATCCTTTCTCTGCAGAGATCCGTTGCAATGAAAGGAGGAGGGCTGTCCATGAACTTGACGCTGCCGATCTGCGGAGCATCCTTTCAGCTGACCAGCTTGCGCGAGGAATGATTGCTACCGTGAGCCGCGCTGTTTGCAGCGTTCTCGTCAGAGGAGAAACAACCACGACCTCGCAATCAAGTTGGTGGGCTGGCAGTAGCGTCATTCTGCCAGCATGCAGACGGAACAACCCCACCCATGCTCTTGAGTTCCTTCCTCAACTTCGCACACTGTTCGACACCCTTGGGGGTGAGTCCTGCGTCCCAGAATTTCCAGCCCGAATGTTCCTTCACAAAAAATTCAGGAGGGCACACCAACCATGCTCCAGAACCTCCTGCAAGTACAAAGAGCCCAGCTCATGCTCTCTCTCGGCGATGTTGTGGAACGCCTCAGCATGGCGGATAAAGTAGACCACCTTACATCTGACAACCATGTAACTCAAACAGTCAAGGATCGACGACTGAATGCCCATCACCTGCGTTCAAGGAAAATCGAGAAACCGAGATCTTCATTGTGGCTAAAAGCATAACTATCCGAGTCTGGGAAGCTACCCATCGACGGCATCCTGGATATTGGCACTCTCTTTGAAGCTTCCCTCAAACTGACTTCGCTGAGATCAAACAAAAGAATCACAATACACGCCCTCACACTCAAAGACCATGCAACCAACACCTGTCCTGTTGGGCTGGACCCTCAACTGGGCTGGAGCGGAACGAAGGCACATGATTTACCCCCGCGTTCCCTGGATCAGAGCATCAGATTTCAACTCCTTGACTGCACATCGCAGCGATGCGGAAGATACCTTCCACGACTGTGATGGAGGAGACAACAAATTGAAACAGAAGGATCAAATAGATCGGATGAGCCGGAGCCATCGACTCCCTAGCCTCTGAATCTGTCCGGCAAGACTGTGCCAAGATCATCCAGAGGCCCAAAGGGTCCCGAATGAGGATAAACACATGCTGTCGGAACAATCGTAAGAAGGATGATCTATGCTAAACATAATGATACATGATTTGTCAGACGAGTCCATTTTCGTTAATTGTAACAAAAGAAGCACACGCAAATCATCAAAACCTTAATTTGCACATCACAAGGGATGAAATGTCAACGATTAAGGGCAGTAATCACAGAAGAAATAGCAATCAAATATCAATCATATTGTGTGAATGTATCCTTTGCAACCAGGTACAGCACCAGCAGCTGTCATTCTACGAGCAGTACAGTGTATCCTCTCTTTCATCACTGTCTCTCGAACTCCCCCTTCCCTTCTTTCCTTCCATCCTTCAACAGTGTCACTCCCTCTCTCTGAGACTTCATGTTGTCCTTTCATCATCTCCTCTTTCCTGGCATCCTCCTTCCCACTCACTCCCGAGCGGCCATGAAAGAAGAAGGGCACATGACCACCCCCTTAATCCACCCCTTCCAAATCACACATACCCCTCCTTTTCTCAGCTAGGACCCATCATTTCCTGTGCACCCTGGAATCGCCAAACAACCACACCTGGTCCTGACCTCTAATAGTAAGACTTTAGAAGTTCCCCTCGTTATCAAATTTGATGTCCATCACCCCTACTCAAGAGTGCAAGTACCCGGTACTTTACCGTCATCGAATGCACCACGCCCACCCCGGCGATAGGAAGCCAAAACATTTTATATAAAAATTACCGGAATGGATTTAAATATAGATATAAGATTGATAAAATAGATATAAAGAATACTTCTACCAGAAAAATCTTTGTATAAATAACTTTTGATTTTTAAAAGTACTTTTATGTGTGAGCGACATCATTTTGCGACCCATACTCCCCCCGTCCCCCCTCAGACCTCATCACCCTCGCCCCCTTGTACCCTCATCCCCCATCATCACATTTTCTCATCGCCCTCATTCTTCATTATCCGACCCCCCCAGCAATATGACCCACCCCTAGCAACACGACAATCGACTACCCTACCTTTCCTGTGACTGCCTGTTTCTGTCCGCCTCCCATACTATCTGACCACCCCCACATACAATATCACTTGGACCCACCGTATTGATGAAAATGAACAAGCCTGGTCATGCTACCCCCGCCAGATTCAGGTACCCCACCCTACCCTCTGCTTCCTGGCCCCCCCTGCGCCATGTCCTCCCCTTCCTCGGATGATGCGCGTATCGCGACTTTCCCCTCCGCGTTTCGCCCTCGCTCGTCCAGGACATCTCAAGCCATGCCGTCGCCTCCCTCCTCCCTCACTTCCATCTTCCCTGGGGCCTCTTCATATCCTGTTGTTTCCCCTCGAGCTGCAACACATCGAGGGGAACGTGGCGAGCATCACAACTCAGCCAAGAAATCTCCCACGTCAAAGACGGCTAAGCATGAGAGGGGAAATCAGATACTGGTACATAATGATAGCAGTGATGACGAGGAACATGCTGAAAAACATCAAACTATAAACATCCATGAGGTTCGTTGTGACAAAACACTTCACTCTCGAATCACAGTTGTTTTCTCAGAGCGATTCAGCTGAAGCTTCAAGCAGTTTGCATAGTTCTGATCTCGATGCAAAATCAAGTGATAGCGAGAATGATGGCTCTTCGAGCCAGATGCATTCGGCTAGAGGAGACAGCGACCTGAACGTCATATCGTTTTCATCTGACAACGAAGGAGAGAGAGGAGCTTCCTCTTCGAAGATACCTATCAAAATGTCAGATACGGCGGATCAGGACGAGAGTGCTACCAAGGAAAGACGATCCGCCAGGCGATATTTCCAAGAAGAAGATTCATCGGTGAGCTTCACGCCCATTTATTCAATCTAAATGCGATTTGTGCTTCTGTATGTGCAATCTTAGATGTCATTGATGTTTTCATAGATAACATGCAGACATTGTGGTGGCATAGGACATTTTGCTCGAGATTGCGTCAATGAGAAGGTAGTGTTGATAAGACATTCTCCTATGTGCTATCGCTTATCATCGTTTTGCGTGTTGATGCCTTGACAGATACCAAAACCTTGTTTCCTTTGCGGCATCAAGGGACACAACGCACGAGATTGTGAAAATCAGCAGTGCTTCAAGGTGTCTTTACTCTCCTTTGCATGGCTCCATCAAGAGTACAGGATCCTTGACTTGCTTACAGTGTCGGAAGCCCGGTCACAGGATCTCGGAATGTCGCTTCCCACCGTACAGGGACGACACCTGTTTCAGGTGAAGTACTTCTCCCAGTCTACAGCGTCTGAGTAGGAGCGAAGGTGCGGGTCGATCCAACATTCACCTTACGACTGTCCCGACGCGATCCGATTTGATGGCATCATCAAGATGCCGTCGCGGTCCCAGAGAGTGGATCCATTACTCTCCACAGCATGGTCAGGTATCCCGCTGGATACAACAAGATCAGCGCTCTCCTCACCCTTCGTTCCCCTCGCAGGGATAAGAGGGAACAAAGATTTCTGGGGCATCGTAGGGAAACTACAGAGAAAACTGGGTTGCAAGAACGAGCAGGAGGTCAAACCAACCAAGATTAATTTGACAAAGGAAGCTGGCATGAAGCGTAAGCGGGACATGGACACTTCCCTGCCGAAATCTGTGCGTGAATGACAATTGAGCCCTGTGTATGCGCTGATAGAGTTGCCAGAGCGAGGAGGAGGAGGAGGAGGAGGAGGTGGAGGAGGAGGAGGAGGAGGAGGAGGAGGAGGAGGAGTCTGTTCCATTCCACCTTCATCAAACCAAGCGGTGAATTTGACTCATGAAACACTGAATGATGTTTGTTTGGTTCTTTTTTGACTCCTCTTTTACTTTTGCAGACGAAGATTGGAAGAAGAGGATGTCAGGAAGCCAAGTCCAAAAGCAAAACCGAAACTTGTAGATGCTAATCAATATCACAGGTTGTTATTTCCTTGTCTGAGTGTCTACTGTAATGTTTTTGGCAGGGGAAAGCTGATGGGAGACCATCACAATACACCATACATGGGGAGACGAGCTCGTCAGAAAGAGCGGAGGATACCTGTTGGAGGCAAGCTCGCGCTCCTCCTCGCACGTTGGACTGATTCACTTGACAGGAGGGAAGCAACATCACCAACCCGCAGTGCGAGGAAGAGGAAGGTAGATCGCAGTCAAACAAGGATCATGTGGAACTGATTGCTTCTATTTCTAGGCAAATGAAGCTTCAAGTGAGGCATTCAGAAAATGTCACGTTCAACAAGAAGAAACCAAATTTTCACCCTCTACAAAATCATCCTAGAGGCAGAAAGAATGGGAGATTTCACAACACAGGGTGGCGTTGACAGATCTCAGTAAAGCATGACAACAGTGTTTCGTATTAACTGTTTCTCACTCTCTCAGTCTGTCAATCTCTTACTTTGCTTGTCCTTTCCTGTCCTGCTATCGGGGTTCCTCTACCCATTTTCTACCTTCCTCCCGCTGTTTCCCTTCCCACTACCCACCCTCTGTATCACTCCTTCCTTTCATATCACCCCCATTACACATCATCAAATAACCCTACCCCCAATTATGACGAAGATGAATAGAGGCTTATACCCCCTAGTCAGCAACCGTGGTTATAGTACCCCACCTCATTGCTGACTACCCTCACCCTGTAGTTTCCCATCCCCGCTCCTCTTCCCTGGGCTGCTTTCTGATTTCTTCCTCCCTCGGTTCCTTCTCTCCCCTCCCCTCTCTCCCTTCCCCTTCTCCTCCCCCTCTTCTCTCCCTTCTCTCTCCTCCCTCCCATCTTCTGTCACCCTTCCTTGTCCATCTTCAGCTCCTCCGTCCCTCCTCGCCTTGTCTGTGTTGGCCACTCACCACGTGCTTGGACCTGCCTTTCATACTCGTCCTCGCCTCTTGTAACATCACATCATACGTTTAGACCGAAATATTCCTCCTTGTAGCCCAAATCTTGAAGATCCTCCTCCTCCTCCTCCTCCTCCCTCTCCCTTCCCTCAATCTTAGCTTCACCCATCATGGCGCGCCGATCACGGGTGGCATACATTCATGACCCAGAGGTCGGCCTGTTCTACTATGGCCCCTCTCACCCCATGAAGCCGCACAGGATGCAGGTGGCCCACCAGCTCATCCTCGGGTACGAGCTCCACCACAAGATGAGTTGCTACAGGCCCCATAAGGCGTCTCCTGCAGAGATGAGGAAATTCCACACGGAGGAATACATCGACTTCCTCCTCAAGATCACACCAGACAACATGCATGAGATGGCAGACAGGATGAAGCAGCACAACGTGGGGTTCGTGGGGCAGTACGACTGTCCTGTCTTCGATGGTATCTTCCCCTTCTGCCAGATCTTCACGGGATCTTCGCTGGACGGGGCAGCGAAGCTCATGGATGGGAGCGCAGACATTGCCATCAACTGGTCAGGAGGGCTTCATCATGCGAAGAGCGACGAGGCCTCGGGCTTCTGCTACATCAACGACATCGTTCTGGCCATCCTGGAGCTGCTCAAGTTCTTCCCTCGCGTCCTTTACATCGATATCGATGTGCATCATGGAGACGGAGTGGAGGAGGCGTTCATCAACACAGACAGAGTTATGACAGCCTCCTTCCACAAGTACGACGGCAACTTCTTCCCGCAGACTGGTGACGTCACAGACGTCGGGGAAGGGGCGGGGAAATACTGCTCTGTGAACGTGCCGCTGCACGATGGGATAGATGACAGCAGCTTCGAGCAGATCTTCAAGCCCATCATCCGAGAGATCATTGGGACCTACGACCCCAAGGCCATCGTCATGCAGTGCGGAGCTGACAGCCTGGCAGGGGACAGGCTGGGAGTGTTCAACCTCTCGGTCCATGCGCATGGCGAGTGCGTGTCGTTCCTCAAAGGGTTCAACATCCCGATGCTGGTGGTGGGGGGAGGCGGATACATCATCAGAAATGTGGCAAGATGCTGGGCATGGGAGACGGCGATCTTGACGGACTCGCAAGTCTCCAATGACCTTCCGTGGAATGATTACTGGGCTTACTTCGCGCCCTCCTACCAGCTCCATGCTGATTTACGGTGAGGGATGGGTGGGCTGGGAGGTTAGAGGGTGAACGCAGCACTAGAGAGATTGGAAGGTGGTGAGGGGAGGAAGTTTCTGTTGTTGGAGTCGTTGTGTTTTGACATCTTTGCTTCTTTTTCCTCCTCCCTCTTGTTCTCCTTCGTTTGCTCCCTTCCTCCCCTCCCTCCCTCCCTCCCTCCCTCCCTCCCTCCCTCCCTCCCTCCCTTCTGTCTTTTCCCTCTGATCAGCGGGAAGGATTGGACGTACTCGGAGAACCAAAACACGCGCGAGTACCTGGAGAACGTGAGGAATACGGTGCTGAAGAATCTGCGCTGCCTACAAGGAGCTCCTTCTGTGCAGATGCAGCAGCTTCCCCCTGCCCTCTACGTCGACATGGACAGTGAGGATGAGGACGAGCTGACTGATGACCAGAAGAGGGTGCGGGACCTCGAGCGGGCGATAGGTGAGATGGAGTTGGGATGGCGAGAGAGGGTGGAGGTGGAAGAGTTAGCAAGGGAGGGAGGGAGGGAGGGAGGGAGTGGAGATGAAACATGGATAGGCGAATAATGTTTGTGATTGTGCTCGGATGGTGGATAAAGTAGGCAGAAGAAGGATGGAGGAAGGGCAGGGTGAATGAAGGATCAGGGGGAGGTGAGAGTGTGGAGCAGGAGGGGGGCAGGAGTGGGGGACGAAATTGGTCACTTGTGCTGACGGGGGCGATCAGAACATCCTGGGGAGTACTTTCCTCCCGAGAAGTTCACGGTGAAGGATGCTGGACACGTTTCTGCGAGGATGGATGGGACAGGTGAGGAAGAGGAGGATTTCGTTTCTCCTCCTTGAGCTGACGAACCTGCAGGGATGAAGAGGGAGAGAGACTGGGAGGCAACAAGTTGACAGACGGGGGGAGGAAGGAATGTGAAGAGATGAATCAAGTAAAGCAGACAGATGATTTACTGGCGCTGGAAGGTGGCAGGGAATTTCTGTAGATAATGCAGATAAGGGAAGGAGTAGGAGCTGGTGGAGGAAGGCGGCTGGGGTGGTGGGGGGAAGGGGAGGGGGTTGTTGACGTAGCTCATAAGGCAACTCGTTGATAGAGCAGAAGCGTCGGGGCCCTTTTCCCTGCAAGCATCCTTGATTTCAACAAGGTAGCGAAGAGACGGGGGGTGGGTGGGTGGGAGGAAGTGAGTGACGGAGAAGGAGGGGTAGAAAAAGATAGGAAGAGGCAGACCAGTCTTCTTGTTGCGTTGATTGATCCACTGAGCGATGAGTCAGAGGAGATGTCCGTATGAGAAGCGGGTTGAAGAGGACAAGAAGAGGGAAGGAGAGGAAGGAGGCCGAGAAAGAGAAACTTGCCTGATGGAAGTAACAAGACCAAAATTTCTTCAACACACTCGTCATCCTTTCACAGCAAAGACGTTCAGCCTCTCACCGCATCTTGTTGGCTCGCATGCTCCTTCACAGCCCTCTGCTCCATCATCACTGGGAGCGGAGAGAAGGAGGAATAGGATGGTAGCAGCGATGCGGCATTGACGAGGATGTGGTGGTGAGTGTAGATGAGGACGAGAAGAGAAAGAGGAGGGAAGAGTGAAGGAGGACAGGCAGGAGCGATCCTTTACCTCCTCCTCTTCTCCTTCTTCGTGTCCAGGGTAACAAGTGACGCTGACGCATCCTCCCACCTGTTTGTGTCCTCTCAACACTGTGAAACGAAAGAAAAGCGAGAAGAACAGCACAAATCAGGACAAAGGGTGGTGGTGGTGGTGGTGGTGGTGGTGGTGGTGGTAGTGGTGGTGGCAGTGGTAGTGGGGGTGGTGGTGGCCTACTTTCAAGGCTCGCTGAGATGACTCGATGGTAGGGATAGTAACTTCGCTCGTCGTAATGATCGACTTATCCCCTCCTGCCCATCTCGTCAGCCCTCCCGCCTCCCAACCTCCCGCCTCTACCGCTTTCCTTCATTCTCCCTTCATCTACATCTATTCTCTTCACTTCTCCTCCCACCTTCTTACCACACCCTTGAACCTCTATCCGCTCCCCCGACTCCCTCTCCAATCACCTGGTAGGTAACCCAAGTTGAAAACCACCAACCTCACACTGTCCTCCTCCTGCGATCTGAGAACATCCAGGTGGCTCTTCCTCCTCCACTCCACCACCACTGTCACGTCCTCCCCTCCTTCTCCCCTCCCCGAGCAGACCCAGACGTCCTCGCTCCTCTCCTCGATCGACATGTCCAGCTCCTCCTTCACCAGCTTCTTCGATCGCTCGAGAGCCACTTGTTGGATGTCACAGGTGACGACTTCTCCTCCTCCTCCTCTAGCGACGCATCGGATGAGATGCAGCGTGTCATAGCTGCGAGAGAAACTGATGAGAAGGAGAGGAGGAGAGGAGGAGAAGAATGAGCGCGGCAGAGGACAGGAAGGCAAAGCTAGAGAAAGAGGCAAGTCGGGAACGGATGCGAGAGGACGGAGAAGGGGGAGGGGGAGGGGGAGGGGGGAAAGGCGAAGGAGGAGGAGGACGAGGAGGAGGACGAGGAGGTAGTGGTGGTGGTGGTGGATGCGAGAATTTCCCACCCGTTCCCACAAGTCGCATCGATCACTCTGTCGCCTGCACGGATGATTGACTTCCAGTACGTGTGGGCAATGTCGGTATGAGGATGAAGAACAATCTGATGCTCAGGTCAAAGAATTCCTCCACCACAACACGCTCCTGCTCCCGTTGCTCCCGCTACTGCTCCCGCTACTGCTCCCGCTACTGCTCCCGCTACTGCTCCCGCTACTGCTCCCGCTACTGCTCCCGCTACTGCTCCTGCTCCCAACTTCTAATGCCCTTCACTGCATCTCCTCACCCCCATCCGCATAAATTCGATGAAGTTGTTTCGTTCCTCTTTCCTTTCCTTCTCCTTACCGTGTCTGGGATCGGGTGTCCATTCCACTGCCGCACTGGAGGAAGAGGAGGAGAATTTGCTGGGGAAGAGAGAGATATCTGCGACGTTGAAGAACAACTTCTGTATGGTATGGAGATTAGCCCTGAATCCTCCCTCTGCCCCCCCTTCCCCCCACCCTTCGCAGCTCCCTCCTCTCGGTCCTCCTCCTACCTCGCAGTCCTCAATACTCGGCTCCAATTTCTCCTCTCTGGGGCGCAAACACTCCTTCCCTGTCTCGCCAGGAGGGCTGGAAGTTTGCGAGAGCATGCGAAACTGACAGCAAGATTAGCATCATGCTTAACTTTCTCTGAACAGGTGAGAGCATAGAAGACATCTCACCCCAATGATTCTTCACACACGGCAATTCCCACAGCGTAGAAAGCTGGACACATCGGACGATCAGATTGTATCCCAACGAACTGATATGCCGAGGCATTTTGTCTCCCCCCCGGCCTGCTCCTGCTCCTGCTCCTGCTCCTGCTCCTGCTCCTGCTCCTGCTCCTGCTCCTGCTCCTGCTCCTGCTCCTGCTCCTGCTCCTGCTCCTGCTCCTGCTCCTGCTCCTGCTCCTGCTCCTGCTCCTGCTCCTGCTCCTGCTCCTGCTCCTGCTCCTGCTCCTGCTCCTGCTCCTGCTCCTGCTCCTGCTCCTCCATCGCTGCCGCCATCTACTCTCCCTTGTATACCTGCCATGGCCGCTAGGTGCTTGGCCGCCATTCCTTGTTTTAACTAAACGTTTACTCAATATTCTTTGAGTAATTTATTTCGGTTACATAATAATTCCATTGGTACTTTCAAAATAACTTCAAATTTGAAAAATGCTTGGAAAAATTGGGAAATACAGAGAGAGCACTTCTGAACTCAAAAAGAACAATCTCCCTTGCTGCTGGTGGGGTGTAATTGACGACCACCCACAGAGCAACTTTGAGTACCCCTACTTTAAACTAAAATTTATCTTATTTGGAAAGGTAGGGTAATCGAATTTAGGGGTACGGAGGAACATGAAGCATTGTAGGTGACAGGGGGTGGTAGGGTATTTCCGGGCGAAAATGGCACCAAGGAAACGAACAGTAGGATTGAAAGGAGGAGAAGGAACGAGAGAAGGAGTCACGAGATGGAGAGCATGTGGTGAACAAATGCAACAGAGATTGTGCCAGAAAAGGACTGAGAGCTCATAGAGAAGTAGCTGGGCGCAGATGCGTGTGCATGTAATGTAAGAAAGCACAAGACGTAGAGAAATTGCATGTGAATGGAGCACAAAGTTTGCAGCAGCATCTAACAGCATGCACAGGTGCTGGAATATTGTGAGCTCGCCTGTGCCAACAAGTCCCGCATCTCCCAATATTTCGTTCTTCTCCATGGTTAGAAGTTCAGTTCGTCATATCAGCATAGACTTGAACACTTGAAGCTCCCCTGCAAGGAAAGTCCAGCTTCACCAATGGCTGTCAAGGACAGCTGCAGCTGTGTCCATCGTAAGGCTCGCACCCCCCTTGACAAGATCTCGCTGGATGATGAGGAACGGAAGGTCTCGCTGGATAAAGGCAGTGCTCAAGCAGTCAAGCAGGGAGTGCTCGTGAAGCAGGGCAATAGGTGGCGGAAGGTATGGAACGAGCGATATGTCATCCTCGACCACAAATCTCTGCGATACTACGCGTCAGGAGCGCAGGACGGTGCGCCTCGAGGAAAGATCCACCTCGGGCCAAGGACGACTGTGTGCAAGCTCGACGGCGGCAAGGCTCCGAGGATCAGAGGAGCAGGGTTGGACTGGAAGGGAGTGCAGGTGGGGCACGGCATGCCCTTCTGCTTTCAGATCACAACAGATTTGAACGAGAGCTTCCTGTTTCAGGCCCTGTCGGACAATGACAGGAACAACTGGATCCAGGCGATTCAACAGTGTTTGGATGGCTTGGCCGTCAATGGGGTTGAGCGAGAGACAGCAAAGGGCAAGAAGAGAAAGGAAGAGTTCGACAGCCTACCTTGTAAGATCGTCCTTGGGGATGACGACGATATCATCTCAGGAGGCTTCTTGTCCGAGGGGTTGGAGAAACAGATCAAAAGCGCCCTGCAGAAGAAATCAGACGTGCTCAACAAGTCAGACCCAGCTGCCAAGAACAAGGGCAGATCGCAAGGGAAGGCCGAGGAGATTGTGGATGAGCGGAGAGAGCCGCCGACCACCATCGACGACAGAGGACTCGGTTCGGTAGGAGGGCTCCCTGGCAAGGCGAGGAACTTCACTCTCTGTGGGATCCGGTCAGGTTGCATGTCAAAGGAAGGCGGGTCGTCCAGCTGGTTTCCCCTCTGCGATCGAAATCCTCCGACCACCTACGAGAGCAGCAGCCCTCAGAACTCTTCGCCTGAAGCTCATCCGGTCTGTCCTCCTGCTGACGTTGCCAGCAGTGACCCTCCCCACCCGCAGGATGCTTTCCCTCTTAGCCCGAGGAGCGCAGGGGATAGGAAGCAGGATGCAGAGGCTACCAGGCAGTACCAGGTAGGTGGCCTGAGAGATGTTTCTGCTCTTGTGTGAGAGACTCGCACAGGTTGGAACCACCGACGTGCAAAGGAAGACAAAAGCGATTTTATCTAAGAACGTCCCGAAACCTCAGTTTACCAAGAAGTCGAAAGAGTCGAAGGAACGCAAGGCAGATATGGAGAACTCCTCGCCCATCTTGAAGGTCCTCGACAACCATGGCAACAGAAAGGTGTCGCCAACTGTCTTCCCTCTAAGTTCTCACCCACCTGCTAGATCGCCGAAGCAATCTACGAGTTCAAGGGGGAGGAGACTGACGAGATCGACCTGGAGATCGGTAAAGTTGCTGAACACGATGACATGAAGCTTAACCCTGGTATGTCAGGCGACAAAGTTGCCATCATCGAAGAGTTCGACGATGGTTGGTGTCAGGTCCGTACTCTATCACTGACTGCTCCTATCTCCCTACCTCTCCACTGTCTGTCCCCTTTCCCCTACCTCAATTCTCCCTCTTCCTGCCTTCCCTCCCGGCTCACTGTCATTTCCCCTACACAGATCCAACTGCTCGGTCCGGGTGCCAAGAGAGCGAAGGAGCTCGATGCCATGATGAAGGTCCTGTTCAGGAGCATGTCTAACACCCGTCCTCACGCGTGGGCAGGAGGGGAAACACGAGGAGATCGCGGGGTGGAGGAAGAAAGGGATTGTGCCGAGAAGCTACTTGCAGATCATCAACCCTGACATGCCCAACGAGCCGCACGCGGGGCATGAGGTGAGGCCACCGGGTGCTCTGCAACCTCGTCGCAGGCTAACCTCCTCCCCTCCAGAATGAATCCGCACAGAACGTCTCTGCGTCAGTGTTGAGTGACAGCAAGACGGAGGAGCATGTGAGCTCTTCTAGGTAGTTGGACTTGGCGTGCAAATGTCTCTCCTCCTTACGATCTGCAGCGGTGCGGAATCTCCCAAGGAAGACCGTCATGGTGATCTCCCGCCTACAATTCTTCGGCGCCATGACGAGACAAAGGTAATTCGTGCATGCGACCTTGACGATGTTGTGGCATGATCATAATGAAAGGAGGCGACAACACCGAATGACAGTGTCGTGAAGAACAACCCTCAGACGAACGGAACGAAGTCGATAGTGTTTGATGTACAGGACGAAGAGGAGACATCTGGATGCTGTGTGAGGTGCTTCTCTTTCAAGAAGCCGAAGAATGTTTTGTGAGAAATGTACATGACAACAAGTGAGGAGAGGAATGAACAGACTATTCTTTGCTGTCCTCCCTCCTCACTACTTCCTCCTCCTCCTCCTCCTCCTCCTCCTCCTCCTCCTCCTCCTCCTCCTCCCTCCCATTCTCTCAGCTCTGCGCTCGACCAGCCTCAATTTTTCATGCCCTCACCCACCCCTTCTAACCCACTGATAATGGAGGGGGTGGGTCATGGACCCTCATGAACTAAAAGGACGGGGTGGGTCCTTTAGAACTCTGACGACTGAGGGGGTGGGGAGAATTTGTGTCGGTGGGGTAGATCGTTGACACGGGTGGGTCATTATGATATGAGGTAGGGGTGGTACATAATTTTTGTGCACCCATAGTTTTGACTGAAAACAGACCCCATCCATGAGGGATTTGCCTCACCCCCTCATCAACAGGGGGGTCCGACTGCTGGAAATAGGGTGGGGTGAAGGTGGGTGTGTGGTGGCTTGCCGAGGTAGTGAAAAATGCGATAAGCGATGCGCTGAAATAGGAGAGGAGGGAAGGGGAGGGAGGGGAGCAGGGGAGGGAGAGGAGGAGAGGATAGGAGAGGAGAGGATGTGAGAAGAGGACAGAAGAGTGAAGGAGAATGAGAGCCAGGCAAACAAGCAGAAGCGAAATGCAGCAGGGAGAAAACGCCGGAGCAAGTATTTGAAAAATCAGAAGAGGAGCATGAGTGGCGAAAGGAAAGATCAAGACACAGAAGGGCGAGAGAAGAGGATGAATGAAAAAGAGAGACAGAAGAGACGAGGAGAAGTTGGTAGCAGAGCATGTTCATTCGAGAAGAGCACCACAAGAATCTTGAACTGGGGACGCATGTTGTGAAGGAAATGTGATTAGACGCAAGGAGATCGGAACGACGGGGTTGAAGGAGGGAATGATATAAAACCTCAAGTTACTTCACTCGAACGACAACGCACCAGGGCACGCATGCTATGCAACAATCCGATGCCTTCGATAGATTGCATTGGAACAAATGCACCCCCCAGTATGAATTCATACAACCTGACCCAACGCTACTGCTACTTTCATGGTTTGAATGGTTTCCCGTTTTGATTGCCACTGGTGTGCAGGATGAGAAGAAGAGGATTTGGAGGAGGTGGTGGTGGTGGTGGAGGAGGAAGCTTTCGCAACCGAGGAGGAGGTATGCAATCCCCACCCCCACTCCAACCCCCTCCAGCCCATCCACACCCCTCGCGGTTGGCTTCTCATCGAGCGTAGGTGGAGGACGGGACCAATCTGTGAGCTCGCTGATAGACTTCATGTCCTCCATCGGGTCGATGTCGATGCAGGTGCGCGCCCGTCCCTGCACGTGACTCAGGTGGAGTCGTGCTAAAGATCTGCAGGTCGACAGCGACGATCTCAAGTCGGCCCTTCAGAGAGCTGGGCACCTGCTGAAGCAGTTCATCCAGGACGACTCGCAGGCGAGCATTCTGATCCACAACGGCGCGAAAGGATTGTCGGTGTGGTTGGAGGCGCCTTCCGACGCGGACATCAAGAACAGTTTCTCCTTCATCAAGAAAGATGGAGCCCGTCCTGACCCTTCGAAGTGATCCTCCTCCTCCTCCTCCTCCTCC